GCTAATTTGCCACCTTATCATTTATATATTTGTTACGCATTCATGAGTATCACTAACATATCAAAGACCCCACGTTTCATTGTAAAGTTTGGAGATACAGGCACGTTTATGTTTTACCTATGCTGTAAGCGTGATGGAGTTGCTTTTTCCTAGTAGGTGGTGTCGGCTGTATTAACTGAAAGAAGAGCTGAGTGAAACGGCACGTGGTGGTTACACAGACACGTCCTTGACAGGTTGTTACACAAATGGATGATGATGATGATTGCCTTTGTGAAGGTACGTAAGTAAACAGCATCCAATAATGAAGGTGTGTCAAGGTATGTATCACATTTGCATGTAGAAGAAAGTCGAGCTGCATAAATCAATTTGTATATGTAAAAAGATACATATACATATTGGATGGGGGAGGGATCTCTTCACTTTTTCTCTTCTCAAGCTCATCCCACTTTCCACTCCTCCTTATTGTATCCCAAAAGCCATGTACTTCTTAAACCGGACCACCTTTACTATTCCATCTTCAAAGCAATAGTATGTAATCCACAAGCTAGCCAAATCCAACAAGCGAGTAATAAATAAACAATGCTTTATTTCATCTAGCTATCTTGCTACTGTACATTGCCATCACCATCGTCGTAGTCGTCCTCCGTCATCATTCGTACGAGTACTCGTCACCAGTCGTCAACCTCATCCGTCACACCAATATTCAAAAACACACAAGTTGAAAAGAATGGGATCTTGCAGGCTTCCTTTTGAATCTCGTTGTCGTCATCATTGTCATTGTTGTGGATGGGGTGATCATCGTAATCGTCATTGTTGTGAATGTGGTAATTATCCAATCGTCGTCTCTACAAATAAGAAAGCAGGCAAGTTAGACCATCTGGTACCGGAATGATGACGATTTGGTATACCGTTAGGCGATCCTCTCATAGGAAGAAAGCAAATCAGAAGGAATTCACAAACCAAATCACCACCATACGAGCAACGTCGGGCAATCCCTTGTTCTTGAGAAAGCACTGCACGAATCACGCAAGGCCAGTTCGATCCATGGCAAGGAAGGACATCACTTACGTAGAGTCCAGGCTCATCGCTGTTCTCATTCATCCTCTCCAAAGAAAGAATGATCCCCAATCCAATCCTTCCAATCATTTCCCACCTCATGAAAAGAAATCCTCAAGGGAAGAAACGAGCCTACCACGAGAAGAGCGTGTTGGTTAAACACATTCACAAGCTGTTGCAAATCCCTTTTTACCTCAACACGGTGACCATGCTCTTCCAAAAATCCATCGTCATCGGCCCACCAACTCAAACGCAGGCCTATAGAGCCCTGGACGCGTTCCAAGAAGCTTTTCCAGCACACTTGGCTAGTGCAGAGCGACGCAGCGGCCACTTGATACAGGCTGGGACTTGAACCCAAAGAGATGATGATGATGATGCCCCAAGTTGCATTGCCTGACTAAAGAAACCTATTCAATTCATTATTAGCATACACACAATAAACACCCTTTTTCGTTGTTTGTTTCATTGCAATTACCTTTCCCATATTCATAAAGACGCGTTGTTGGTGGTTACTGGAAACCGAAAAACCATGGTGTAGTGTTGTTGAGCCGAAACAGAACGCCAAACCAGCCAACGCCTTGAAACCAAACTTGCCCCTTATATAAGCTAACACGTCAATGGAACAAGTTACGCTGCAACATTGGACTCTCAATGTACCTGTTGACACCCAGCGTAGAGCGGGAATAGCAACGAACAAGAGGAAGCAACGATATCGCCATGGCAACCACCAACCACCAACCACGCTCATTCCTCATCACTTTGGACACACTTACTCCCTGACAATGCATGTTCAGAACTACATTAATGCCCCACAAACAACAAGAGCACTCTTTTATAGTACATTACCTTGATCGAGATGTCGTGAATGGAATAAGGAAAGGTGGGAGAAAAAGAAGAGAAGCGTTGTCTCAAGTCGTGGAGCTGCTGTCCCCCAAGTTTAAATCCCCTACTGCTATTACACTGAGGCCACACACCATCCACCCAACCACACAACTCACCCATCATTATCATCACCCTCACAATAGACAATAGGTACACGTAAATAAAAGACATGATCCTCAAGTATAGCAAAAGGATGTGTGTCATTTTACAACTTACATGATAGTGATGATCCAACAACAGCCATTGCCTTACTACCAGGTTAGCTCGAATCATGAAAGTTAAATGATGGGAATGATAGTCTGGAACAAGACAATTGGTCACATTCATTGTTTTGGGCAACAAAGCTGAATGAGAGGAATGGGCTATTAGCTTGCAGTTTACAAATAACTTTGCAAAATGATTTTCTTATATTGGATGATGCTTCTGTGTTTGAGCGTTTTTCAGTCAAATCCTCTCGGTAGTAGCTTTGATACTAGAGAAAAGCCTAAAAGTCATGTTGATGTCCCAATCACTGGTCGCTCCCATCCCATAAATTTATCTAAGCAATGTTGTACCAGATCAATGCGTGTATAAAAACTCCACCGGCTTTTCCTTCTCTACTTTGTTGCTCTCAGTCGCACTCGCACACCACGACAAATGACCGTTGTCGAGAACATTAGCTGGTCCGAATTACTGAAGCATACAAATCTCACAGCCGAACATGGTAATGACGGCAACCGAATTGCCACGGCAACTGAAACCTTGCAGCAAGCAGCACACCAATTCGTTCAAGTCATCAACGAACGTGCCCGGCTTTTAGCCAAGAGTGCTCAATTTGATGCGGCTTTACGGGATGCAGCAGCCATAGTTGCCATATTACCGGCATCAGGGCTTGGATACTTGTGTATGGGAGACGTGTACTGTCAACAAGGACATCATTCCGCAGCCATTTCCATATACGATCAAGGGGTTGAAGCAGTACCTGAATCAGATGCCCATTATCAGCACCTTCGACAACATCGGATGACAGCAACAACCAAGAACAGCCAACACGTCGACTTCATCAGCCGATTACCATTGGATATCGTTGTCACCAATATTATACCGAGGATGGAGCTAGATTCCACATCATTTACGTCATTTGAGCCTCTTTACGTATCACGTGCATGGCAGGAGCGTATCTTGAGGGCTCCTAAGGGTTTACACTTTGGCTTTGATGGAGAAAAATTCAATGAGGATCAAGCGCAGATTGTCAAGTTTGCACCCTATGTTCAGAGCTTGGTGGGATGTAGGACCGATTTTCATTTGGACGATCTCTTTTCTCGAGCACATTTTGCCAATCTTAAGGAGCTAGAAATCAATCGTAAGTATGTATGTTTTTGAGTATGCGAAATTATTGACGCGAATACCATTTGTACTATGTAGTTATGGAGACCACTCTAAGCCGTCCAGTAATGAAGGGTCTACAAATGGTGGCGGACTCGCTGACTCACTTGGCCATTAGTGGGTGTCCCCATATCCAGTTACGTGATCTCCTTGAATCATGCCCAAAGCTTGTATCCCTTAATGCAACTGATGTGGAACTTGTTATGCCTTCCTTGCCATTCTCACGCTTTCCAAAAATGTCGCATTTGTCACTTCGCAACATAGAGGAAACAGCTCTCACGTATAACAATATGCATGATGTCCTCAGCCGGTTTCCTTCTTTGTTGTCGTTGGAGATTACGCAGATGCCTGAATCCAGAGTCTTGACACTTCTACACGAGGATTGTCCATACCTACAGGAGCTTTATTATGGTTGTCGCGGCAATGGCGATCACGAATTTGACACCCATCCAAATCTAAAAGGGGTCACGACGGCGCATTTAGGAGATGAAGACTTTTCTTATGAGCAAGACGACCTGATACAATTTCTACACCTGCACAGACATTCATTGAAAACGATTGATTTTGGCTGCTCTCATATTAATGACAACAATTGCAATTGGAAGTTGGAGAATGGACAAGTACTACAGGTACACGATCATCGAGATGTACCTCGTTTACGCCATAATGATGATCCAATTCAAACAAAGACCGTATTCACACGACTTGTCAACATTGATTTTTCGAATTGTAAGCCATCATCATCTCGTGACTTTATGATATGGTTGATGTCGAATGCTCCCAATCTCAAAGCCATCCGTCTCACTGAATCCCATTTTCTACCTGATGTCTCAAACGCCATGATCAAGATGAGCAACCTTTCAAAGTTGGAAATTACCAAGATCAAGGGCACTGCCGAGTTTTTCAGTCCCATCATTTCATTCATGCTGCATCATAATGCAATGGAGGATCGGTCAACGCTCGAAGAACTCATTCTACACATAGATGATGGGACAATGCATGCGGTAGTATGGCTGAACCTAATTTCTCAAATGAAGCGTCTCAAGGACTTGATATTGCTCACGGATGTCATTCCCCAATATTGCTTACCAACATTGGCGAACATTGCTCGAGATTGCTCCTCTCTGGAAAGCTTAACGCTCGGTACTGAGTATGGCTCCTATTTTACTGATGGCGTCATAACGTCTTTGTGTCCACATCCCAAGCTAAAGTATCTCACGATTGGAGCTAAATCATTATCAGCCGCCGACTTTTTCGCATTGCCTACATTTCCTAGTCTAGAACGTCTTCGTCTTCAATATCATATTCCACATTTGACTAAAGACATGTTACGTAAACACATTCCAAAAGTCATTATTGAATAAAATATAGACATCTCCTCGCATGGGTTATCCTACAACTACACCTTTGCATAAACGTGAATCCCATCCGTGTAGACAACGTTTCCCCCCTTCCTTATATCCTTTCATAGTGCAGCCAATATTACCCTCATTGTGAAGCTCCTCCATCACTTGATCCTTCCAAAATCCCAATCTCCACAATATCATCCACGTTAAATCCATGATACCACCAATATCCGACCATAGCTCTCATGAGTCCCACAAGCAATCTCTTGAATGAATCATACGATAAAGCAGGTGTATTATCGATCTTGGGACGTTGTCGCAATACAAAAGGGGGCAATCAAGTCTACCTATAGGTGGATGGATCATCTATGGCTGTCATTGTCTCAATGTTTGCACGCGGTTGTGGAATAGTGTCGACTGAGAGGGTGCTGCCGTTAAACGCAATGGAAAACGTGTATGTGCTCCCTTCAACCAGCAAGTCAAATCCATGTCCTGCTCATTGCCATCCAATTTACCATCCTCAGCATCGATTTGAATGGGCCCATTTCCTTATCCAAGCATGATCCGAAAGCTGATTATCATCACCTTGTCTCGCTGTTGTGGTATCCATTCATCCTCATGTTGGTTGATACAAGGTATCATGATGATGATAATATGCCCTTGACCAAAATGGTTGCTTCTCCATCTGTACCCTTGTCATTGTGTATCCTCCAAGCGAGCTTATGAAACTGATATCAATGAAGCACCACCATCCATCATGTGCCTAATCGATGATGACCATGTTAGATACGAACCACTTACCAGCATGACAATCCATATGCCGTTTACCTTGATATAGGTGCATCTGAATAAGAGTGCTTGAACACGTTGCTATACCAAGTAGCCAAACTGATGTATCGACGCTGTCTCACGTGACACTCAATGCAACGTGCTGGTGTTGAGAATAGAATAATATGCTGGATCCAGTCGCCAAGAGATGCTGTAACACAACACGTGAAAAAGAGTAGGCTGTATGGAGCAATATGGCCTTGACACCAGTAAGCTTGTCAAAGTTCGTAATCTGGAAGGTGCGATGCCGTTCTTGCCGTGTTTGTTGAGCTAGTAAGCTATCCAGCTGGTGGAATGTGTCGTGTCATTTGTTGTTGAAGAAAGAGATGCAACGAACAAGTGGTTGTTGCAAGTGGCATTGTGAGCAAGTGATGGAGTGAGACGAGGTTGGTGTCGAGAAGAAGAATGACCACCCCCATGCCACGTCGGCTGTGTTTTATCCCCCCCCCCTCTCCACCAAAGCATGGTCACACAATCACATCCCGCTAAACATCATCATCCAAAAGCATTCAAATACAAATAATGCCCGTGTGGATCAATGCTTGAAAGAGTCGATTGCTCTATTGAACTATGTAATGGTGGTCGAGAACGCTCTCTTTATTGATATGCATGCATACAGTATCGACCATCATTTTCTTACATAGTTTAGAGATGATGATGACAACGAGATTGAAGGATCCCAATGTACTATGGAACGATTACTTGCCATTCACATGATACCCTGATGCATCTTCTTTATTGGATGTTGTTTACATACCTTCTCAAAGGTCGTCATTATCCCATTTGTGCAGCAACCTATCAAAGACGTGTTTGTGTAACCACCACGTGCCAATTCACTCATTTCCGTTCATGCAGCCGACACCATCCATTAGGAGAGAGCAACTCCATCAAGTTTACAGCATTGGTAAAACAGCTACTACAACAACGTGTCTTATATACGTTGTATTTTTACTTGTGTGTTATGCTATACGGAGATGGGATCTACATATGAGGATGTTGGGGATACACGAAAGGATGGATAGAGATGATGAGGGTCGTTGTGTGATGAAAAAGAACCTAAAGTATATGTGGGATACATAACTGTGGTCTTTTGTGATACCTTGGCTTGTCATCTTGTGCTTGGTGATGAATCTTAAGTTTATTGGTACTTGAAATACGACGTTTCTACTTTTACTACTCGGTTACACTCAGACGCTCATACACCACGTACGAATGACCGTTGTCGAGAACATTAGCTGGTCCGAATTACTGAAGAGCACCAATCTCACAGCTCAACATGGTAATGACGGCAACCGAATTGCCACGGCAACCGAGTCTTTGAAGCAAACAGCCCACCAATTCACCCAAGTCCTCAATGAGCGTGCCATACTTTTTGCCAACAGTGCCCAGTTTGGTGCAGCCCTGCATGATGCAGCAGCCATAAGAGCCCTATTACCGGGATCAGGGCTTGGGTATTTGTGTACAGGAGACGTGCACTGCCAACAAGGACGTTACGCAGCAGCGATTTCCATATACGACCAAGGGCTTGAAACAGTACCTGATACCGATGCCTATTACCAACAGCTTCAACAGCATCGATTAGCAGCAATAGCCAACAACAATAAACGTGTCGATTTCATCAACGAGTTGCCATTGGATATTGTCATCTCCCACATTGTATCAAGGATAGCAGCAGACTTGGGATCTAATGAGCTGTATGAGCCTCTTTATGTATCACGTGCCTGGCAGGAGCGTATTTTGCAGCGACCTGACGGTTTGGACTTTGCTTTGGGCCAAGAATGGGTCACCTTGAAGAACGGTCATGATCAACTTGTCCGGTTTGCACCCTATATCCGACGCATATCAGGAAGCATTAAAAATGGTATTCATTTGGACGATCTCCTTTCTCGTGCACACTTTTCGAATCTTAAACGACTAGATTTATTCTGTAAGGATTACTGGCGTAATATGCATGTATGACATGGATGAAGTGGCTAATTTTGGTTTATGATACAGATGACGACCCCTCTCATGATGCATTGATAAACGGCCTGCAATTGGTTGGTGATTCGCTGACGCACTTGGCCATTGAAGGGGATCCTTATAACATTGAACTCTATCGCATTGTGGAATCATGCCCAAATCTTGTATCTCTGGTGGTCGATAATGTGCGCGTTGTTATGTCTTCTTCATCAGGACGCTATCCCAAGATGACGCATCTTAGAATTTACAACGTACCAGTGGCAGTTCCCAGCGATGATGATGTGATTGATCTCCTAAGTCGGTTTCCTTCTTTATTGTCATTCGATATTACACCGAAGCCTTCATCCAGTGTCTTGACTCTTCTACATGAGCATTGCCCATATCTACAGCAACTTCATTACGGCTGTTACAGCGGTGCTACAGACGAACCTGATTTACACAAAGTTGAACTCCATCCAAATGGAAAAGGGATCACCTCGGCTCATCTGGGAAATGAAGGATACGATTATGACCATGACGACCTGATTCAATTCTTACACCTGCACAGACATTCATTGGAAGCAATTGATTTTGGCTGCTCTAATATTAATGACAACGATTGCCATTGGAAGTTGGAGAATGGAAACGTAGTACTACAGGCGCACGATCATCATCGAGATATGCCTACAAGTCTACTCCCTGAAAATGATCCAACTCAAACGAAGACTATATTCAAACGACTTGTGGATGTATCTTTTTTGAATGATGATCCGTCATCATCATCTCGTGGTTTTATGTTATGGTTGATATCGAATGCACCCAATCTTAAAGCGATCCATCTCACTGAATCCCATTTTCTGCCTGATGTCTCAAAGGCGATGATCAAGATGAGCCACCTTTCAAAGTTGGAAATTACCAGGGTTGCGGGAACTGCCGAGTATATCGATCCCATCATTTCATTGATGCAGCATCATATTGCAATGGAGGATCAGTCAACGCTCGAAGAAATCATCATACACATAGATGGTGGGAATATGGATGCAGTAACATGGCTAGGTTTCATTTCTCAAATGAAGCGTCTCAAGGACCTGAGCTTGCTCACGAGGGTCATTCCCGAAGATTGCTTACCAGCATTGGAGAAGATAGGTCAAGGCTGCTCCTCTCTAGAAAGCTTAACGCTTGGTACTTGGTCTTACAGAGGATCCTCTATTGCCGATGGCGTTATAAGATCTTTTAGGCAACATCCCAATCTTAAACATCTTACTATTGAATCCAAATCTTTATTAGCCACCGACGTTTTAGCCTTGAATACACTTCCACGTTTAGAACGGCTTCGTCTTAATTATTATACTCCCGATTTGGTCAAAGACATGTTACGTAGAGTCCTTCCAAATGTCATTATTGAATAAACTACATCTTTACATAAACATCAATCGCATTCGTTTGCATAGCGTTCACCCTTAAGCATGCACCTGTTACAGGGTCATGCAAAATGTTTACGCGTATCATGATGCGCGTGCTTTTTTATTTGCTCATCAATGACGATGGATAATAGAACCCTTGGTGGTATTGGGAAAGATAACATGCACTGCATACTCTCATACATAAAACCATTTGACTCTGCATCGTCGATACAATAAACTTTATATGTCGTACGTGTTGTACAAGGATAAATGCACGTCTTGTTTTTTTTGCAACTTTTCACTGCTCATCATAAAGGGCAGCTTATCCAAACTCGCACCGTCTTGAAAATCCAGCATTGAATCCCATATACGGTCATCATGGATCGCTTTTGCCGGTTGTGGCATCATGTAGGTTTGCTCAGAGAAGATAACGTGGCATTGTAAATGATGAAAACCAGAGGCTTTGGCAGCACATCATAATGCGGTATCGAGCAACAACACCCCGAAGCTTACAAAGATGGGCATTACATGTCATGTAAGGGCTTCTTTATTGTACAGTAGCATGTCTGCAGAGGGACGAAAACTAAAATCTAGGCAGCATCACATAAGGCTCTTGAATAATGTGTCTTCCACCCCTACTAGAAACAGCAAAAAGGATCATCATCAGTGCCATCATCGGTGTGTGTGTGTAACCATTTTATGCAGCATCTGCCATTGACAAGGTTTATTTTGGGCTTTCCCTTTTCACCTTATTCTCTTCCACTACTTTGTTCAACACCACGAATGGCCACCATGGAGAACATTAGCTGGTCCGAATTACTAAAGGACACCAATCTCACAGCTCAACATGGCAATGACGGCAACCGCATTGTAGCAGCAACCCAAGCTCTACAGCAAACAGCGCAGCAATTCGTCCAAGTCCTCAATGAGCGTGCCAGGCTTTTCGCCAACAGTGCTCAATTTGATAAGGCGTTACATGATGCAGCAGTAATAAGAGCCATGCTACCAGGATCAGGGCGTGGATATTTGTGTATGGGAGACGTGTATTGTCAACAAGGCCATCATGCAGCAGCCATTTCCATATATGAGCAAGGGCTTGAAGCAATACCTGAATCAGATGCATATTATCAGCAACTTCAACAACATCGAATGACAGCAATAGCCAACAACAGCAAACGCGTCGACTTTATCAGCCAATTGCCATTGGATATTGTGATCACCAATATTGTACCAAGGGCGGATCGATTGTTCTTTTCAGAATCATCGTGCGAGTTTCTTTACGTATCACGTGCATGGCAGGAGCGCATCTTGAAGCAACCCAAAGGCTTACGATTTTACTTGGACGAAGGGCACAACACATTGATAAAGGGCCATACACAGCTCATCCGATTTGCCTCCTATGTTCAGAGCTTGCAAGCCACTCTATATCAGCGTATTCGTTTGGATGACCTCTTTGCCCGAGGACACTTCTCCAATTTAAAAGAACTCTATATACAATGTAGGTGTGAATGATGGCATGGTTCGTGGTTTGATGATGGATGCGAATGATGCTTTATTTATATTAGCTCTTTCGACAACTGGTCGCCTTCCATTGATCCATGGCCTGCAATTGGTTGGCAATTCGCTGACACACTTGACGCTCTTTGAGTGCCCTTATATTCAATTACGTGACGCCTTGGAGGCATGTCCAAATCTTGTACGGCTTGAAACAATGAATGTGGATGCAGTGATGTCTTTATCGCCTTCATCAAGTTATCCCAAGCTCGAGCACCTTTCACTTTACGATATCTCAGAATACGGTCGCTCTCATGAGAATATGGTCGATGTCCTTGCTCGTTTTCCTTCCTTGCGTGTGCTTGAAGTTTCGCCAATGGCCGATTCCAGCATCTTGCCTATCCTACACAAGCATTGTCCTCACCTACAGACCATTTATTACGAGCACGTGGACGTGGAGTTTGGTACAGCTACAACAGAGTTTCATCCAAATCGAAAAGGAATCGCGTCAGCTTATCTAGGCGGCAGCGAATTGTATAAGCAAGATGACCTGATTCAGTTCCTACACCTACAGCAAAATTCATTGGAAGGGCTTTATTTCCATGGGAACATTCAAATCAATGATGATGCCTTTTGGGATGTATCAAATGGACGCGTTCGACTGAGGGATCAATATCAGCATCAACAACCTCCTGAGGGCAACCCATCTGAATCATCATTTCCGCGACTGACAGAACTTTACTTTACAAGTAACCTTCCAACTACTACACACATGCAAATGATGCTGTGGATCGCATCGAATGCACCCAATCTCAACACCATCCATATCCATATTTCATCTTTTCGATCTCATTTCGCACACGCTATGATCAGGTTGAAACACCTTCATACAGTAAGAATCAACGCTCTATCCAACGACGTGAACGACACCGGCATTCAGCAATTCTTGGAGCATCATGTTGCACTTGGAGATCAATCAACACTCGAACATGTGACTTTGCGTATGGGCCGTGTAGGGGTGTCTCAAAACGCATGGATAGCTTTACTTTCAAGGTTGACGCGTCTCAAGAACCTCGAATTACTTGCTGGAATCATGCCTGAGAATTGCATCCCCATCATGGAGGAAATAGGTCAAGGTTGTCCCGCTCTCAAAAAGTTGACCCTCGGTGTGTATGATGCCGTGTTAGCTGATGGTCTCTTGATGCCTTTACGCAAGCATTCGAATCTTCAATGCCTTTGGATTGGAGCTACATCTTTATCCGATACGAACCTGCTAGCTTTGTGTACATTCCACCATTTAAAGCAACTCTCTCTTGAGTGTCGTGTTCCAAAAGGTTTACTTGAGATACTACAAGATCATATACCCAAAGTCAATATTTTCCCTTATGGATAGTGCATATCTCTAATAATAAAAGCAACAATTGATTTCCTTGCATGATCGGTGCCTTGATGTGTGAGGGTTCCTGCATTCATTTTGAATAGCATTCTAAATATTTGTTTGACGATACATACACATCACAAGCTGTTGTCACATAAAGCACACATTTATTTCCCTGAATGATGTTACGTGATTCTCATTTCGTGCAGCTAGTTTCCTATTCTACCAAGCTGGGTCAACGACATCAACGAAGGCTGAGTTCCTTTTGATGCTTAGATCCATGTTCTGCTTGGGCCTCACCCCTCCTCTTTTACAACTCATTTGCACTAAGACGCTCACACACAACCACGAATGGCATCCATTGAGAACATTGCTTGGTCTGAATTACTGAAGCATGACAGCGTTACAGCTCAACATGGTAATGACGGCAACCGAATTGCCACGGCAACCGAGACCCTACAGGAAACAGCACAGCAATTCGTCAAGGTGCTCAATGAACGTGCCAAGTTGTTAGCCAACAGTGCCAGTTTGATACAGCGTTACGTGATGCAGCAGCTATAAGAGGCATATTACCGGGATCAGGACTTGGATATTTGTGCACAGGAGATGTGTACTGTCAACAGGGACGATATGCATCAGCTATTTCCATATACGACAAAGGCCTTCAAGCAGTACCCAAATCGGATCCTTACTATCAACAGCTTCAGCAGCATCGAATGGCGGCAGTAACCAACAACGATAAACGCGTTGATTTCATCAGCCAGTTGCCATTGGATATTGTTGTCACCAATATTGTACCAAGAATACAGTCAACGTTATTCTCGCATGAGTCGTACGCACCTCTTTATGTATCACGTACATGGAGGGAACGTTTCTTGCAGCAACCCAATGGTTTGGACTATCATTTTGGGAAAGAAGAGAACACATTCATGAGGGGCCATGATCAACTTGTTCGGTTTGCTCCCTATGTTCAGAGCTTATCAGGAACCGTGATGGGTGATGCTCGTTTAGATGAACTCTTTTCTCGTGCACACTTTTCCAATCTCAGACGATTAGAGCTATATTGTGAGTATGAATGGTGGTTTATGTAAGTGATCGATCCGAATGATCCTTTTTATTATTAGGCAACGATTCAAATCCTCGTGATCCAGTAATAAACGGTCTGCAAATGATTGCTCATTCGTTGACACACTTGGTAATCTTTGATGGGTGTTCTATTCCACTGCAAGATGTTTTCGAATCATGCCCCAGCCTTGTGTCTTTGTCAACATTCGGTGAGGGCCATGTTTTTCGTTCTTCTTCACCTTCAACACGTTATCCTAAGATGGCACATCTGGCAATCCACAATGTATTAGGCCCACGTTTTACCTACGATACGATGGTGGATATCCTGAAATTGTTTCCATCTTTAATGTCACTCAAGATCACACCAACCCCCGATTCCAGCGTCTTGACGATTCTACACGAGTATTGCCCATCTCTACAGATTCTTAATTTCAGTAACGAAGGGGCTATCCCCGAGCGAAACGATGTTCATCCGAATCGAAGTGGCATCACATACGCTCGACTTCATGGCTAAGGAGACTCTTATATAAAAGATCAATTGATTCAGTTTCTGCTCACGCATCGAAATTTGTTGGAAACTTTTGATTTCGATGGCACTATCATTGGGAATAACAATACTCTTTGGGATGGACGAGTTCTACTACAACAAATGGGTGACGCAACGCCATCAGAGACTTTATTGACACAATTGACCAGCGTTCGTTTTTCAGAACTTTGCTCACGTGATTGCGAGCCTTTTATTGCATGGATCCCCCCAACCTCAAAGCCATCAGTCTTAGCGAGTCACTTTTACAACCTGCTGTCGCCAACGCCATGATCAAGTCGAAGCATATATCAAAGTTAGATATCTATCAGCCATGGGGGGACAATGATGATGACCTCTGGGGCGAAGAGCATAAAGGCATCAAGACGTTTTGGGATTATCATGCTGAAATGGGAAATCAGTCAACACTCGAAGAACTCATCATACGGGTTGATATCAATACGAATTCGGTATCATGGATGCCCCTTCTTCCTCTCTTCAAATGTCTCAAGAGCGTGGAAATACTGCCTGATTTCATTCACAGAGAATGCGCAATCGTGTTGACTGGGTGCTCCGCTCTTGAAAAGTTAACTCTCGGTGGGATGAGGGCCACGTTTGCTGATGATATGATGAGGCTATTGAGTGTACTCCCAAATCTTAAATGTCTCAGACTTGGAGCAGGATCATTGCCGGATAGCGAGCTTGTCGCCTTGACAACGTTTCCTAGTTTAGAACAGCTTTATCTTGAATGTGATGTACCAAATTATATTGAGAAGATGCTGCTTAGACATATACCAAAAGTCATTATTGAATAAAGATACAACGCTTTACTTTTATTCCATAATTGCTGACACCTTTCTAAGATAAAATTTCCTATTCTTTATCTATATAACCATTTCCACTGACAACCAGGTGTTGTTTGTGCATGATGGTGATAATGTTCATTTCCGTCCCCTCTGAAGAGCTTTTGCATACCCTATCCCTCCTGCTCATTGGCTCTTTGAATGATTCCATATCCCTTCCATATCCACCAATTGCACCTTTAAAGATAACTTGAAGACGCCTTTATCCATTTGACCTTGTCTATGTAGTGTACAATGGTGATGTTGAAGGAACATTCGAAATAATGGGTAGCGAAGGGTGACCTGATATAGGGTCGATGAACCATCTCCATGTGCACGTGCCAGTACTATAGCGTGGATGTCCCCTTGTCCTTTTTGTCCTCATGTCACCAACGTTTCATTCGACGATAGGTTTGTTGTAACTTGTGTCGTGTAGCACATTCTGCCTTGGGATGTAGCATGGCAAATCGTTCTCATAATCATCATCCAATCCATCATTCCATCCTTGTCCAGTTGGCAAGATCCAGTCGCGTCATCGTGTGCAAAGTTGTTGCCACATCCAAGAAAACGCCAAGCATCCTCACTCTCTAGAATCCATCCTTCATCCTCAGGTTGACATTTCAAGTGTACCGATATGCTCTTGATTACTGCTCCAGATGTACCCTGAGTCCCATACGTATTAGCTGAAGTCGATCCTCGCTTGACATTGTGAAGCCCGTTTCCTCCAACATCCAAGTAAATCGTGCATCACTCCAGCAACCGCCCCTATTCGATGTTAAAGCTTCTTAGATACCATATCTCTACAAACATCCTAATCCATCCTGATGCTTACCTTTGTACGATGATGTAGCTGAATAAGAGAGCTTGGATAGTGTGCCAAATGGGTGATGGAATGTGTGTGTTGAAGCTGTCTCGCGTGATAATCAATGTATGGCCTTGGTATCGAGAAAACAAGGTATGTTGGATCCAGTCGCCAAGAGATGCTGTAACACAACGCGTGAAAAAGAGTAGGCTGTATGATGCAATATGGCCTTGACACCAGTAAGCTCGTCAAAGGTCGTAATCTGGAAGTGGCGATGCCGTTCTTGGCGTGTTTGTTGAACAGTTTTGACAAGTGAGTTATTCAGCTGGTGGAACGTGTTGTGTCATGTGCTGTTGAAGGAAGAGAGATGTGTTGAACAAGTGGTTGTGGCGAGTGCCATTGGGAGCGAGTGATGGAGTGAGACGAGGTTAGTGTCGAGAAGAAGAATGCTTTAATCCCACTGTACACGCCGGCTGGTTTTTATTCCCTCCACCAAAGTATGGTCACACAAGCACATCCCGCTAAACATAGTCATTCTAAAGCATCCATAAATAAATAATGCCCCGTGTGGAGCAATGCTTGAAAGAGTCGATTACCCTGATGAACTATGTAATGGTGGTCGGGAACGCTCTCTTTATTGATATGCATGCATACAGTATCCACCATCATTTTCTTACATAGTTTAGAGACGATGATGATAACGGCATGATGATAACGATAATTGATCCGAATGTGACATGGAATGTATTAATGATCATACACATACCTTGAGACTTCATTCAATTTTGAATGCTGTTTTACTTACGTACCTTCACAAAAGGCAATCATCATCACCATCCGTTTGTGCAGCAACCTGTCAGGGACGTGTTTGTGTAACCACCACTTGCGGTTTCACTCAGCTCTTCATCTTTCCGTTAATGCAGCCGACACCATCCACTAGGAAAAAGCAACTCCATCACGCTTACAGCATAGATAAAACATAAACGTGCCTGTATCTCCAAACTTTACAATAAAACGTGGGGTTTTTATTAGAGCAATGGGCTCGGCTTGGTCAACAGCACCTTGTGTAAAAGTTTCACGTTCAATGTCGCAACTAGCCCAAAAAATATTTTTTGGTCGTCGTCGTCGAAGAGGTCGACCCCCAGATCCAGTTTGGCTGGTAGCGACATTGCGAAATCTGGGATTGGCAAGCTTGATCGTGAAACTTTCACACAAGGTACTGTTGGCCAAGCCGAGCACATTGCTCTAATAAAAACCCCACGTTTCATTGTAAAGTTCGGAGATACAGGCACCTTTATGTTTGTAAACGTGATGCTATATGAAAAGTGGTCTTTGTTCATTGCCAAGTAACTAGACCCTGGAGAGCCAAAGATGCAGAAGGACCTCTTTGGGTAACTCAGCTAAAAAGTCAGGACTTCAGGGACCATGCATGATAGGTACGCAACCCTCACTTTTATGTCATATGGCCGGCATGCACAGCTCTCTCTCTCTCTCTCTCTCTCTCTCTCTCTCTCTCTCTCTCTCTCTCTCTCTCTCTCTCTCTCTCTCTCTCTCTCTCTCTCTCTCTCTCTCTCTCTCTCTCTCTCTCTCTCTCTCTCTCTCTCTCTCTCTCTCTCTCTCTCTCTCTCTCTCTCTCTCTCTCTCTCTCTCTCTCTCTCTCTCTCTCTCTCTCTCTCTCTCTCTCTCTCTCTCTCTCTCTCTCTCTCTCTCTCTCTTTGTGCATTCCTAACTTTTGTACATCTGATTGTGTAGGTGGACGATGCCTCTGCTCTAGACATTCATTTCCATGATTAAAGTAGGTTGACCGAGCTGATTTGGTTGGAGTTACGCTCACACAAAGATTACATCGGTTGAGCTACATCGAGCGTGCTTGATGTATGGATTGATGTAACTTTGACCGCAGCTCAGTCAAATCAGCTCGGATCAACCTACTTTAATCATGGAAATGAATGTCTAGAGCATCGTTCCCATGCAGTGGATCTCGCAACAATGATGATTGGATAAAAGTAGCCATTAGCTAGCAATACATGCCTGTTCCTAGATGATCCATAAAGCAATTATGCATTGACCCTTTCATTCATGCAAACGTAGCCGTGTTACACAACACGACCCTCTGCATCTTTTGCTCTGTCAGGGTCTAGCTACTTTACATTAAACAAAGACCACTCTTCATATAGCATCACGCTTACAAACATAAACGTGCCTGTATCTCCAAACTTTACAATGAAACGTGTGGTTTTGAATAGAGCAATGTGCTCGGCTTAGGCAACAGCACCTTGTGTGAAAGTTTCGCGTTCATTGTCGCAACTAGCCCAAAAAATATTTTTTAGTCGTCGAAAAAAGTTTCAAGAGGTCGACCCCCGGATCCAGTTTGGCTGGTGGCGACATTGCGAAATCTGGGATTGGCAAGCTTGATCATGAACTTGCACCCAAGGTGTAGTTGGCCAAGCCGAGCAGGTTGGTTCTCATAAAGACCCCACGTTTGATTGTAAAGTTTAGGGATACAGCAATCTTTATATTTTACATATGCTGTAAGCGTGATGCTATATGAAAAGAGGTCTTTGTTCAATGATACGTAGCTAAATCCTGAAAGAGAAAAAAGATGCAGAGGGGTCGTGTTTGTGTAACAAGTCGAGGGGCAGGGGTTGCAGGGTATGCAGATCCTATTGGAGGAGAGCGCATGAAAAATCCTTTCACTATACGTGCGCCTCGAGTAAGGTACGCCTATGATTGACCTTATAGAGTTCTCTTCATGTCACGCATGACGTGGTTCATAGACGAAAAATGATCAGTGCATCCAGGAGCATTTTGTATCAAAGGATGAGAGAGGCAAAGATGCTGTTTGTGTTAGGGGTTCCTTATCATCATACAAATAGTGTAGCAGCAGTATTATGAGATACTGTAGCGTATATGGAATCAATGACTAACCAGGAAAACGATAGTAGCAGCCGCTTTTCATGGCAATGGCGTTGTGCACACCTTGTATCCCACAGGATTAGACACGATCCACCCTCCTCTTTATCCACTTTGCTGAAGCACTCATCCAATAAAACTGCCGGTGATACTCAAAGGTAGAGAAAGTCAAACATTTCAATGTGTGTTAGTGCTGTTGAATCCACCCAAAGGTCACCACGTGTAGTATCCAGGCTATCTATTATACTCAAATAGATCCAACATGCGTGTCTTAGACATAAACCAATGATAAATCTCATATTCATCGGTTGTCACTTGTCATCAGGAACACCGATTGCTCACACTCATCCTAAGCCTCCAGCATTATTTAACAGCCTTAGACATCTCATACCCCACCATGAATGATGCATCTACTGTCGTCTCATCAAAGCTGTAGTTTCACTTTATAGAATAGAAAATCAGCATGTATCCAGCATACAATCAAGATCATCGTATCACTGACGCATTGTCCCCAAAATTTTTATTGCGATAAAGCTGTCGCATACGGACATCCAACATCTCCTCTACATCTTGTACTCTACCCTTTATCCCCGCTTCATACAACATTGCGCAATGCCGGTAGTCATTAAATATCACCTGGAATCCGAGCACCTTGTGCGTAAATGTTAAGGATATAAAGTCGCGGCTTTGCCCCATTCAATGGCTTTCCATCCGAGATGAAGACCCCACCTTGCCAGCGACCATGCTTTCTCACCATGCAGGTAGTAGGCCATCTCCCTTGTATAACGAAATATCGAGCATTTAGTGTTATGAGTGGATAAATTGGCATAGTACGATTGTTGAATACTTACAGCTCCAATGGTCTTATCATAGTCAAGTATGTTGCAAACATAATAACAACCGAATGGGAAGAAGCGAGCAATGTAAAAGTCTTTGTGGGTTCTCTCACGAGACTTGTTGTAAGTAGAAACGATCATCATCGTATCGTGTGCTTGTGACCAGTAGACATTTCTGTCATTCCACTCTGAGTTGTCGATCCGTAGCTGAGCCAGCTCCTCACCACGGCTTGGCTGACCATAGGTCAGGTGGATTAGGACAAAGGTGCATAGCAAGACACTTGTCAGCTTCCTTCAGCAACTTCTTTGGCGCTGTTCTCCCGGCGTTTAAGGTTTGTCGCTGTTAAAGGAAAGTGTAAGGATTGGCAAGCATGCTTGAGGTCATCATGTTTCTTACCCAGACTCAAATATCACCTTCAAGCGGTAATGTTGAATTGCGTGTACCAAGGTCTTGATCCGTCTTCTTGCATCCATGTGCCTGGTCATAACCACGAATCCAGAAAGGTACGACCAAAGGCGCTCCATGCCTTCACCATCCGTCAAGCCGATACCTTGCTGGTAGCATGGGCTATAGTCGACTTGACATGACGTGGGGTGTGTGCATATGCATGGAAAATCCCAATCATGGTGCGTAGATCAGGGAATCCATGCTTGGTCTGTATGTGTGATATGAAATGAATCGGCTGAACCATCACATTGTTCAAACAACTATACCATACCTTGAGACAAGGAGTAACCCGATGGGTGGTTGGTCATGTTGTCGCAAATCGAAAAACACCCTCTCCAATCCACTGCATGATGTGGCAAACAAGTCTCTGGGACCCACATGACTCCTTTATACACTACTTAGTACCAGCTCATAAATTGACAGCAAAAATAGCCACTTACCCAAAACCAACTTTGTCGATTCCACCATGGCGGGAACTCGTAACAATGCCTTTCACATCACCAAATGCGTTAAAATACCGATGAGTGATTGGCCGCATGTACTTGAAGCATTGATTCGGCACTAATGATAAAAAGAATATTAGATTCGGTGTACACCACCAAAAACGCATTAAGTGATCGAACTTACTTTTCCTTCTCAATGCATATTTTTCTAAGCACTAATAATCAGCACCAGTACTCCAGCATTGATGCATGGCTAGTAGTCGTACCAAGTATAGGGAAACGGCCTTCATATGTAACACTGGATATGCAAGGAAGTCGAAAGGCCCCGCTTCAGAATTTCGAATGCATTCAGAAAAGGCTCTTCAGACGTGGTTGCGTGAGCTCCTCCATGAGCGTTTCAACTTCTTCAACACACTTGGGATGTTTTGCCATATTTCTCGCAGCGCCAATGATATCCCCTCATACGCTCTGATCCTCGGATGGCAATACACATTGTAGCTGTACCGCCAGGGTATACCAAAGATGGCCATAATAGGATCTCATGTTTGCCCATAGATTTGGTCTCAAGCACAGTAAATTCCACAATGCCTTCACCCGGTTTCTTCACTTCATATGGGCAACCAAAATCTCCCCAGGATCCAGTACCAGATCGGTATCCACCACAACAACGCATTATGGAGATGTAGCTCACGTGAACATAAAGGCATTTGTATTGCAATCAAGCGTGGGTCTTGAATAGAACAAAGTTGCTCGGCGGGGTCGAAAGGACCATGTGTGCAAGTTTCACGATCCAGGTGGTCAATCTCAGATGCACCCAATGCCGCTACCAGCCAAGTTGTGTATAGGTCAAAGAATTTGATGTTGGTCATCCATGGTTGTCGTTCTGTCAGTGCTGGATGTGGTGTTTGGACATGCCGATGATCCATAGGATGTTGTCGATAAAAGCAAGGGAAAGAAAGAGTATGTGTGTGTGTTGATAACAATATCGAATAGTATTCCTCTCAATCAGTAGGCCAAATAATCCATCCTACCATTCTCAGTATGATCCACTTCGTCCTTGTCGATAATCGTTCAAAGCTGCAGCCATATCCAGCACACCATTCGAAAGCTGAAGTCCATCACCTTATCCCTCTGCTCTGGAATCCAGCCATCCTCATGCACGTTCATATACCACACGACGTTGAGATGCTCTTGCCGAAGATGATTACTGCTCCAAATCTCCTTATCACCATATCCCGTAGCTTGGATGGGTATCGACTTGATCTTCTGCTGGAATCCTTCTATGACTCAGACACCATGAGACAGCTGCCAAAGGATACATCACCATCATCCATAAGGTCCCTGTTCCATAACAAATGCGTGTTAGGCATGAGTCCTCTATTGACATCCATAATCCGTTTCAAATTTTACCTTGTTACATTGATGCAATTGGATAAGCGCACTTGGATAGTCGCTTTGCCAATAACAGGATGGCTATATTCAAGCTGTCGCAGGAAACGCTGAATGCATGATCTTGCTGTCAAGAATGGGAGAATAAGCTAGATGCTGCTGTTGACAACAAAACGTGTAAGAAAATGACCGTATTGTATCATGCTACATGTTCCTGACACCAGGAAGCATGCCAAAGGTCGTACCTGAAAGAAGGGAGTGTGTTGTCGGCGTGCTTGTTGAGTAATTGTGGCAAGTGATTCATTCAGTTGGTGGAATGCGTTGTGTCATGTGCTAGTGAAGTAAGAAATGTGTCGAAAAAGTGGTTGTTGTCAAGGTCATTGGACACGAGTGGACGCGTGAGACGAGGTTGGTGTTGAAGAGAAGGTTGAACAAGCCCCTGGATACCGCCGCCGGCAGTTTTTTTTTGTCAGGGACACCATGTGGTACAAGCCCATTTCGCTACATAAAGAGACATGGCTACGTCAAGTGATAGAGCCAAGAAGTGTACCATTATTTCTCTAAATCCATCTCATATTGTACCTGGCAGATTCCCCTCGTCGTATGATGTTATTATAGGCCATGTTTCATATGCGCATGAGTCGGCCTATGTTCGCTTCATAAAACACACCAGCCCTGGGGTATGAGAGTTTGTCATATATCATCTCGCTAACTGTCGCAGCCCATACAGTAACCATTCGGTGCCGTTGACGTGGTGCTTGAGATTAACGTGATGATGGGGAAGATAAAGTGCGTTTTGATGATATCGACTATTTGCCTAATGTGATGTCTCCAAACCTAATTTATTTGTGTGTGAGCCTAGAGACATAAGGGAGCAACATCAGCATGCAACACCTCCTCAAGATGACCGTGCGTTGTCAAATATGAGATTTATTGTTGCACTAGCTTTGACAGTACTAGAGAAAACCCAAAGCCGTGTTGATGTCCTTCATTTTTAGCTGGTCCTATAGCATAGATGGATATGCTCAAGTATATGTCTTCCATCCCTATATGAAGTAGGAAGAAGGATTATTTATCAACAGCTTTGTGTACGTAGCCATCAATCATCCTAGGTACAAACTCCACTCACTTTTCCTTCGGGTTGTCGTCTCTGCTTTTACTACTTTTGTTGCTCGCAAACGTACACCACGACCAATGACCATTATCGAGAACATTAGCTGGTCCGAATTGCTGAAGAACACCAATGTCACAGCTGAACATGGTAATGACGGCAACCGAATTGCCACGGCAACCGAGTCTTTGAAGCAAACAGCCCACCAATTCGTCGAGGTGCTCAATGAGCGTGCCAGACTTTTCGCCAACAGTGCTCAATTTGATACAGCGTTACGTGATGCAGCAGCCATAGTTGCCATATTACCGGGAGCAGGGCTTGGATACTTATGTACAGGAGACGTGTATTGTCAACAAGGGCATCATGCAGCAGCCATTACCATATACGATCAAGGCCTTCAAGCAGCGTCTGAATCGGATCCATGTTATCAACAGCTCCAACGTCATCGAATGACAGCAATAGCCAACAACAACAAACGTGTCGATTTCATCAGCCAGTTGCCATTGGATATTGTTATCACCAACATTGTACCAAGGATGGAGACAACGCATTTGATGTCTGATGTGCTGTGCGAGCCTCTTTACGTATCACGTGGATGGCAGAAGCGCATCTTGCAGCAACCTAACGGCCTGCAGTTGGATTTTGACAATGAGGATGCCACTTTCAAGAGAGGTCATGATCAACTTGTCCGCTTTGCACCCTATGTACAGACGTTATCAGGTTCCCTGTTTGGTGCTGTGCGTTTGGATGATCTTTTTACTCGTGCACAATTTGCCAACCTTAAACAACTCAACCTAACCTGTAAGTATGAGCCTCATAGATCTATATATATGACATGGATGAAATGATTAACATCTTACTTTGTATAGGTGAGGATGACTCCTTCCCTCGTCGTCATATTATAAAAGGCCTGCGATTGATTGCTGATTCTCTCACCCACTTGACCCTCCTATATTTTTCATCCATTCAATTACGTGATATCCTGGAGTTATGTCCAAATCTTGTGTCTTTGAATGCCGACGACTTGGATGTTGTGACGCCCTCATCGCCTTCATTGCGGTATCCCAAGATGACGCATCTTGGGCTTCTCTCCTCCCTATCAGAAAGAGCTCTCGATCATGAGGATATGGTGGATCTTATCAGCCGATTTCCTTCTTTATTATCACTTGAGATTGGACCAATGCCCGACTCCAAGCTCTTGACCATTCTACATGAACATTGTACCCATTTACAACGACTGCATTATGGTGGCGGATACCTTAGTACAGGCAAATTTGATGTTCATCCAAATCCGAAAGGAATCACGTCGGCTCATTTCTTTGGCGGTGTCTCTTATCATCAAGACGATCTTATTCAGTTCCTACATTTGAATCAACATTCTCTCGAAACGATTACATTGGTCGGCCATATTAATGGGGACAATGGTCGTTGGAAGTTACAACATGACAAAGTAGTATCGAACGGTGCTGTTGGTTTGCTCCCTGAAAATGACCCGACTCAATCAAAAGCTTCCTTCACGCAATTGACCAGCATCGATTTTTTCCCGTATTCTGATACACGCGATGACATTATGAAGTGGATGATATGGAACGCACCGAATCTCAAAGCTATCAGTATCCCTGAATCTCATCTTCAAATTGATATGGCAAAGGCGATGACGAGGTCCCAACACCTTTCCAAGTTAACGATCAATCGGATGATAGGACATCATGATTTCGGTGGCATTTCTGAATTCTTGAAGTTCCATATTGCAAAGGAGGGCCTGTCAACACTTGAAGAAATGACCCTGAACATGAATAGGCCGATCCATCATGTCACGTGGTTGCCTTTGATTTCTAGACTGAAATGCCTCAAGACCTTGGAATTACTCTCTCCCGACATTCTCGAAGGTGCCAAGCTAACATTGGTGGCCATAGGACTAGGATGCCCGGCTCTTGAAAGCTTAACGCTCGGTAACACTGGTGTCAAGTTGGGTGATGGTCTCATCAAGCCTCTGTGTAAACTTCCAAATCTCAAATGTCTCAGAATTGGAGCAAGAATATTGTCGCAACCCGATCTCTTGGCATTGATTGAATTCCCCAAGCTAGAACGTCTCTATCTTTACTATGATGTCCCGGATTGTATTAAGGAGATGCTACACAATTATATACCAAAAGTCATTATTGTATAAAATTGAAGGCCTATGATAATGCGTTGATTGATGACCACCTATAACAACGTATATGTATTTTGTCAGATACCACACAACCCTCAATGCGTCCCTGCCTTTTCCCAAGTCATCGATCATTCCTGTCACTTTAATAAACATCGAGAGGAGTTTGTTACATAAACATGTTTGCGAACAGCGAGGGTAAAAAGAATTTGCGAATGATGCAGAAGAAAGAGAACAATGAAATCCCACAAGTTTACAATCACCCAACAGAGCATGTGATCCATCATCCCTGTACACCAACCAATCTTCTCATTGTAAGCTGGCGTGTCACTTTTCCCACTTACAATCACTTGAGCCATCCAAAACCACAATCCCCACAATAACATCCACGTTCAATCCATGATACCCCCAATATCCAATCATAGCTGTCATGAGCCCCACAAGCAATCCCTTGAATGAATCATACGATAAAGCAGGTATATTGCCAATCTTGAATCTTGCCATGATACAATGTCTATTTACATGTGAATGGATCATCCATGGCCGTCATTGTCCCATTGTTGCACGTGGTTGTGGAATAATGTCGGATATCATCCAAGCGGGTGTCACCAATAAACACATGTAGCGCTGACAAGAATACAGGATACGTTCCTTTGAACCAGCAAGCCAAATCATCCTCCTGGTCACCATTGTCACCCTATTCACGATCCTCAGCATGATCCACTTTGACGGTCCTCCCCCTTGATGATCGATTCACAAAGCCGCAGTAATATCCAAGCATCATTCGAAAGCCGATTTTCATCACCTAGTCTCGCTGCTGTGGGATCCAATCATCCTGATGTAAGGTGCCACGTTGATGATGATATGATCTTGACGAAAATGGCGCTTCTCCATACGTATCCTTGTCATTGTATGTCCCCCAAGCGAGTTCACGAGCTGATATCAATGAAGCATCATCATCCATCATGTGCCTAATTGATGATGACCATGTTAGACAAGACCCATCTACCAACATGACAATCCATCTGCTGTTTACCGTATGTAAGTGCATTTGAATAAGAGTGCTTGGACATGCTGCTATCCCAATCAATGTATCGAAACTGTTTCGCGTGATGCTCAATGTAAAGTGCTGCTTTTGAGAATAGAAGAGTATGCTGGATCCAGTCGTCAAGATATTATGCAACGTAACGCGTGAAAAGCGTATCTCGTATAATGCAATATGCTCGTATCCACAAGTAAGCTTGTCAAAGGTCGCAATCAGGAAGAAGCGACGCGTTCTTGCCGTATGGGTTGAGGAGTTCTGGCAAGGGCGTTATTCAGTTGGCGTAATGTGCTTTGTCATCTGTTAAAGAGAAGAGGCGGAATGTATCGAGCAAGTGGTTGTCAACGAATGCGAGATGAAGGTGGTGGAGAGAAGAAAGTTGACCAAGTCCCCCCATGCCACGTCGGCCATTTTATCCTTAGCTAGTGCGACAACCATGTGACACAAGCCCATTCCGCTACACAACATCCCAAAGCATGCCACAAGGAAAAAGACACCCCTGCGTCGAATGATGAAGCCAAGCCGTGTACTATCGAGTAAAATCATCTCATATTGCACCTGGAAGAACTCTCCGTATGATATCGTAGCAGGATTTGTTGCATGTATGCCCGCTGGTGCCAATCTATGCTTGAAAACGTTTGGTACTCGTTGGATTAGTTCATGCAAAACCAAACAGTAGCAACATAGACACCATCATCTCTTGGAATTGAGCGCCTTCAAATCGGATGATGCACTGTTATTATTGATAGCACTCATCCAGTAAATGATACCCTTGATCATTCAGTGGCCACCTTCTTTATACATAAAGACCCCCCAGCATGCATTTAGTGTCTAGAATTTCAAAATACTCAGTAAAAAAAAAGGTACTCTGCATATCAAGGAGTGCAGCTTTGCAATTGAGATGGATGTCAAACTTGCTTGTAGTTTTACTCAGTAGACGACATTCATAAACGTCGTTAATCAAGCTTCTACATGTATATCTGCCTTGTCCTTTTTCGATGATAATCCTTTCGCAACGATGCAGCAGCAAAAGTTAATTGTTGGTTCTATCGCCTAAGACGGAGATGAGAAAAAGTGCTTCTCCTTAGCATCCATCATTGTATGTAGGCATGGATGTGTTATATTGTATCATTCTACAAGGTAAAAACGATATCAAGTATAGCGCTCTCGCGTAACCTTTATTTTCGTTTCATTGAGAAAAGTATGCAAAGTGCATGCGCACCCTACATTATCATCTTTTGAGGTGACTACTTGTACACCCCTGCTTAACCCTTGCACTCCAAATCTTTATAAAAGAGAGCGTTGAAGAGCATACACCACTAGGATCACACAACCATGATGAACTTCAAGCTTTCCTTTTTTATTACTCTTTCGCTGTTTGTGCTTACGGTGTTCTCTCAACAAGATCCCAAGGCAGGCCAAGAAAGCAACGCTAATACTGGATCTGCTTCGTCTTCTGCTGCTTCTGCTGCCGCTGCTGCTTTTGCGTCTGTGATACGTGATAAACCTACAAGTCTAGGATGCATCCCGTATTGTGCAGAGCAACCCAATACGCCGACGTTGGGCTGTCTCGTAAAGTGTATCAAAAATTGAGCTCTTCCGTGACCAATTGGTGTACCAGGAGTGAATGATGCTGTGCCTTGGATGATATGTATGTAATAGCTCTTGTCATTAAACCATAACCCATTTGAGATGCCATATTTTCGCTGATACTACGTCTCGTACATGTATCCGCAAGGCTTAATCTATACGATAACCGCTTATGCGATATCTTTGAACTTTCTCACTTTGCGTGTAAAAGTAGACATGTCTGCGAACACAATCATCATTTGATGTTTTAACATAGCAACCGTACCATCAAGCTGATGATGTTCTTATTAAAATACAACCTCTGAATTGATGGGCTAAAAGGATAAAGTCATATTGATCTTTTATTCAACTACAGGTCCTCCATCATCTAACTCAATCGCGTAGGTTCATGTAAGCAAAGCATACCCACTAGCAACATCTTAATGCGTGTAGTCAACGTGTGTGTAACCAAGCAGCCATCAACCATTTTAGAGACATCGCCGTCGTTTCTTTTGCTGCCTTGTTCCACTCAGACGCACCCACCATGAATGTTGTTGGCAAACGTAGTCTCCACCTGGTCCGATTTGCTGAAGAACCCAATCCTCACAGTTGAACATTGTAATGGCAAGAACCGAATTGCAGCAACAACTGAGACTCTTCGACAAGCAGCACACCAATTCGCCAAAGTCCTTAATGACCGTGCCAAGCTGTTAGCCAACAGTGCCCAGTTCGATGCAGCGTTGCGTGATGCAGTAGCAATAGTTGCCATGTTACCAGAATCAGGGCTTGGATACTTATGTGCGGGAGACGTGTATTGTCAACAAGGACGTTATGCAGCAGCGATTTCCATATACGACCAAGGCCTTCAAGTAGTACCTGAATCAGATCCATATTACAAGTACCTCCAGCAACATCGAATGGAAGCCGTATCCAACAACAGCAAGCGTGTCGATTTTATCAGCCGGTTGCCATTGGATATTGTTGTCACCAACATTCGACGAAGGATGAAGCCCATATACTACGATTCGAATGTGCTGTACGAGCCGTTTTATGTATCACGTACGTGGCAGGAGCGTCTCTTGAAGAGTCGAAATGGCCTATGGTTCGGCTTTGTTCAGGAGAATAACACACTCAAGGAGGGACATGCACAACTCATCCGGTTCGCGCCTTATGTACGGACCTTGAATGGCACTATGACTGATGCGCGGTTGGATGAGCTCTTTTCTCGAGGAAACTTTTCCAGGCTTGATAACTTTCATTTAGAATGTAAGTATGTATAAAGGGTGGATGGTATGTTACATACATATATGATTGATGCGAATGCTTTTATTGTGTAGGTGATCATTCTACTCCTCGTCGCCCATTGATAAACGGCCTCGAATTAATCGCTCATTCACTGGCACATTTATCCATCACCGAGTGTCATTCCATCCAGTTACGTGATATTCTGGAATCATGCCCAAATCTTGTATCCCTTAGCACGGATGAGGTGGATGTTGTTATGCCTTCGTCGTCTTCAACACGCTATCCCAAGATGAGGCACCTAGCGCTTTATGATGCATCAGAGACACCTCCTACGTATGATGATATGATCGATGTATTGAGCCGATTTCCTTCTTTGGTGTCTTTCGAGATTACGCCCATGCCCGATTCGAGTCTTTTGCCTATCCTACACAACCATTGTCCTTATTTACAGAGACTTTATTATGGTATCAAGAGCGTTGGGTTTTTCGCACATGCATTCGAAAACCATCCAAATCGCAAAGGGATCACCTCAGCTGTTTTGGGTGGAGAAGAGACCTATGTTCAAGACCACGTGATCCAATTTCTACACCTTCATCAACATACGCTGGAAGAGTTCGAATTTTACGGCCAGATGGTAAAGAGTTACCATGCATTGTGGGAATTATCGGATGAACACGTTCAACAAAGGAATACACAACGACGAGGTGAACTCTTACACCCTGATAACGATCCATCACTCTCAGCGACTTCATTTACGCGACTCGTCTATCTTCGCTTTTCGGAACTCCATCCATCTGTGGCGGTACCTTTTATGAAGTGGATTATATTAAACGCACCCAATGTCAACACCATCAATCTACCAGAATCCCGTTTTCTGCCAGATATTGCCAGCGTCATCATCCAGTTGAAGCATCTTTCCACGTTAGAGATCAGGAGTGTATTTGGAGTGGACAACGACAATGACAACAATGGCATCAACCAGTTTTTGGAGTATCATATTGGGATGGGGAATCGCTCATCGCTCGAACATGTGATTGTGCATATGGAAGATATCGAGATGTCCAAAGCAACGTGGATCCCTTTATTCACCCAATTGCAAAATCTCAAGAACCTGGAATTACTCGCTGACATCATCACCCACCGCTGCAAAGAGATGCTGGAAGACCTAGGTCGTGGTTGCCCTGCTTTAGAAAAGTTGACTCTTGGTATGGATGGAGCTGATATGGTTGAAGGTATCATCAAGCCTTTGCGACAAATTTGGAATCTCAAGGACATCAGGATGGGAGGGGCCACGGTATTTGACTCGGACCTTGTTGTTTTGGCATCATTTCCTCGTTTAGAGCATCTTTTCCTTCAATGCATGGTTCCGGATCGTATGCGAGAGATGTTGCACCGCCATATACCAAACGTAGAGATTGAATTCAATGTATAATAATAATAAGGAGCATCAACCACCATGATTCGAATGCTTGTTTTTTTCATGATTGCATGCTTGGGAATCAATGACATCCGGGACGAACCCTACACCTTTATAAGACCAAGAGTCGGCTGGCACACCTTTCTAGTTTGTATCATCACTATACATTTCAAGATGGACTTCAAGTTTTCCTTCTTTATGGTTCTTGCCCTATGTGTCTTTACCGTGTCGTCCCAGTATGCCGGTCAAGACTGCGCCCTACAATGTGAAGAAGCTCAAAGCTATGACGATTGCTTTCAGCAGTGCATCGGATGAAATTAAGGTCAAGGAACCCATTAACCTGCCCATGATGATGGATACATATTACACCATGATACATGATGTGCCTTTTTCTCGTGTAATTGGATAATATGCAATTGATATTGTCAATAAAATCATTTGGTCTTGTTTCATCGATACACAATGAATGCAAGGAGCATCTACCAAGCAACAATGAAATTTTTACTGAGGTCACTGCTACCACTTTTCATCAGCCTTCCGTTATGAATGAAAACGAGCAATCATGAATAATACTACTCCTTTTCGGTTCGTTGCTATGTAAATCCTCCTTTATTTTCATTTTCCATCATGTTCTCTAGCTATACCATCACAATATCAAAGTTCCAAGAGGCCGTCAAACATCCTGTAAAGTCACGATACTATACAATCCCAAAACATTCAGTGTAACGGAACCAAGGATCTCGATGACAATTTATGATGCTGTGAATATACAATAGGTCAAGCAGCTTGACGATCTTTATAGATGTGTGTCGATCCGACATGCGCCGTCTATGATGTCCTTGATTTGTGATCCCCACCAATCCTTCGTCTGACGATTCCATTGTAGCAGCAGCAGCGTATCTTGACCGTCGTGCACCACACGCCTTGAACAATAATCCAATCCATCATCGTCACCCTTATCCATATCCATTGATCCATTGGTCATGGTGAAAGCAAATTACGCTGGCGCATGTCGGAAGGGTCATAGATGATGATGCGGATGGTTTCAGTTCATATGCTGTGCTGGATGCTGCTAGCAATGTTGGATAATGGTCATGTTGATAAAAGTCTCACGTGATTGCAATATCGGTACGATTTCCATCTTCTGCTTGTTTCAAACCCATACATCCAGTCGTATTCCTCATGCACTGGTGTCAAATATTGAGTGGCCAAAGGGTCGTATTCCATAGCGTTGATAACGTCTCATTCGCAGGCTGCCGATAAATAGACTGCATCATCCAAAGGGATCGGTTTGATTCAACAGGGTCCTATTCAATGATGATTTGCTTGCCTTGTTAGCTACCATGCTTTCCCGAAATGCTAATCCATGCTCTTCTTTTACCGTGATACCTTGGATGATGATGAGTCGTGTCTTGTAGCAGTATCGGATCCACTTTCGCTAGTTAGTGTTCCTCTCAATCAGCAGGCCAGATCATCCATCCCATCATCCTCAGCATGATCCCACTTCAATGGTCCCATTGTCGATTCTCCTTGGAAGCTGCTGCTATATCCAGACACCGGTCAAAAGTTGAAGCTCATCACCTTATCTCACTTCTCTGGAATCCAACCATGCCGCCTATCCTCATGTACGTTCATATACCCCATGATGCTGATATCTTCTTGCGAAGGTGGTTGCTGCTCCAAATAACCTTATCATCATGTTTCATGTCTTGGGTGGATAGCGACTTGACGTGGTGCACCTCTTGTAAAATTCAGACGTCATGAAGCCAGCTGCCAAATAAAGGATAATCATCATCATCCATAAGGTCTTCTGTTTCACAACAAGTATGTGTTAAACATGATCCATCTTCCGATACCCCTAATCAGTTTCATATTTACTTTGTTACGTTGATGCACTTGAATAAGAGTACGTGAATAGTTGCTATGCCAATAACCACATAGCCGTATCCAAGCTGTCTCATGTGATGCTCAATGCATGTCCCTGCACCGAGAAAGGGAGACATGCTGGATCCAGTCAACGCGACATGCTGCAATACAACGGGTGAAAAAGAGTAGGCTGTATAATGTAATGTAGTCTTGACACCAGTGAGCTCGTCAAAGGTCGTAATCAGAAAGAAGCGATCCAGTTCTTGGCGCGTTTGTTGAGGAGTTCAGGCAAGTGAGTTATTCAAATGGTGGAATGTGTTGTGTCATGTGCTGCTGTTGAAGAAAGAGATGTATCGAACAAGTGGTTGTTGCAAGTGGCATTGTGAGCAAGTGATGGAGTGAGACGAGGTTGGTGCCGAGAAGAAGAATGAACACCCCCATGCCACGTCGGCTGGTTTTTATCCCCCCCCTCCACCAAAGCATGGTCGCACAACTACATTCCGCAAAACATCATCATCCAAAAGCATCCATAAATAAATAATGCCCCGTGTGGATCAATGTTTGAAAGAGTCGATTGCTCTAATGGATTATGTGACGATAGTCGAGAACACTCTCTTTATTGATATGCATATGTACAGTCTCCACCATCATTTTCTTCCATACTTTAGAGATGATGATGACGTTGAAGACGATAACGAGATTGAAGGACCCAAACGTGCCGTGGGACGACATTGACGATGATATACATTCTTGACACGCCTACATTCATTATTGGATATTGTTTGCTTACGTATCTTCACAAAAGGCAATCATCAACATCATCCATTTGTGTAGCAACCTGTCAAGGACGTGTCTGTGTAACCACCACGTGCTGTTTCACTCAGCTCTTCATCTTTCCGTTAATGCAGCCGACACCATCCACTAGGAAAAAGCAACACCATCACGCTTACAGCATAGTGAAAACATAAAGACAGCCATATCTCAAGATTTCACAATGAAACGTGGGGTTTTTATTACAGCAATGGGCTCGGTTTGGCCAACAGCACCTTGTGTGAAAGTTTCAAGTTCAATGTCGCAAACAGCCCAAAAAATATTTTTTGGTCATCGTCGTCGAAGAGGTCGACCCCTGGATCCAGTTTGGCTGGTGGCGACATTGCGAAATCTGGGATTGGCAAGCTTGATCATGCAACTTGCACCCAAGGCGCAGTTGGCCAAGCCGAGCACATTGCTCGAATAAAAACCCCGCGTTTCATTGTAAAGTTTAGAGATACAGGCACCTTTATGTTTGTAAGCGTGGTGCTATATGAGAAGTGGTCTTTGTTTAATGTAAAGTAGTATGGCTATAATGGTGCAAAAGATGCAGAAGGACCTCTTTGGGTAACTCAGCTAAAAAGTCAGGACTTCAGGGACAATGCATGAAAGGTACGCAACCCTCACTTTTATGTCATACATTGGCAGCTAATAGCCACTTTTGTGCATTCCCAACTTTTGTGCATTCTATTGTAGGTGGACAATGCTCCTGCTCTAGACATTCATTTCCATGATTAAAATAGGTTGATCCGAGCTGATTTGGTTGAGTTACGCTCACACAAGATTACATCGGTTGAGCTACATCGAGCGTGCTTTATGTCCAGAGTGATGTAACCTCTCTTTGACCGCAGCTCAGTCAAATCAGCTCGGATCAACCTACTTTAATCATGGAAATGATGTCTGGATCAGGGGCATCGTTCCCATGCAGTGGATCTCGCAACAATGATGATTGGATAAAAGTGGGCGTTAGCTAGCAATACATGCCTGTTCCTAGATGATCCATAAAGTAATTTATACATTGACCCTTTCATTCATGCAAACGTAGCCGTGTTACACAACACGACCCTCTGCATCTTTTGCTCTGCCGGGGTCCACCTACTTGACAGTGAACAAAGACCACTCCTCATATAGCATCACGCTTACAAACATAAAGACGCCTGTATCTCCAAACTTTACATGAAACGTGGGGTTTTGAATAGAGCAATGTGCTCGGCTTGGCCAACAGCACCTTGTGTGAAAGTTTCAAGTTCAATGTCGCAACTAGCCCAAAAAATATTTTTTTGGTCGTCGTCGTCGAGGAGGTCGACCCGCAGATCCAGTTTGGCTGGTGGCGACATTGCGAAATCTGGGATTGGCAAGCTTGATCATGAAACTTGCACCCAAGGTGTAGTTGGCCAAGCCGAGCACATTGTTCTAATAAAAACCACACGTTTCATTGTAAAGTTTGGAGATGCAGGCACCTTTATGTTTGTAAGCGTGATGCTATATGAGAAGTGGTCTTTGTTTAATGTAAAGTAGTATGGCTATAATAGAGCAAAAGATGCAGAAGGACCTCTTTGGGTAACTCAGCTCATTATGCATGATTGGAAGGGTCAACGTACACTTTTCAGTAATAGCTCATCATTGCGCGCTAGCAGCCATTTCTTCACAATCAGCGTTGTTGTAAAATCCACTTCATGTGAACGATTCTCCTACTCCAGCCGAGCGTTTCCATCATTCAAGTTTCTTGATCCGATGAGATTTGACTGAAAAATGCTCACACACAGAAACATCATCCAATATCAGAAGAATCAAATTGGTAAGTTATTTGTAAATTGCTGGTTGATAGCCCATTCCTCCCATTCACCTTTGTTGTCCAATCCAATGCATGTAAACGATTCTCCTGCTCCAGCCCAGCATGTCCATCCTTCAACTTCCTTGATTCGAGCTAACCTGGTAGTAAGATAATGGCTGTTGTTGGATCATCATTATCATATAAAGTGTAAAACGGCACACACCCTTTTGCTATACGTGAGGATCATCATTTCTTTTATTTACGTGTACATATTGTCTATCGTGAGGGTGATGATGACGATGGGTGGATGGTGTCTGTGTGGGGTCATTGAGTGGCCTCAGTGTAATAGCAGTAGGGGGATTTAAACTTGGGGGACAGCAGCTCCACGACTTGAGACAACGCTTCTCTTCTTTTTCTCCCACCTTTCCTTATTCCATTCACGACATCTCGATCAAGCTAATGTATTATCAAAGAGTGCTCTTGTTGGCTGTGAGGTGTTAATGTAGTTCTGAACATGCTTTGTCCGGGAGTGAGTGTGTCCAAGTGCTGAGGAATGGAGCGTGCTTGGTGGTTGGTGGTTGCCATGGCGATATCGTTGCTTCCTCTTGTTCGTTGCTATTCCCGCTCTACGCTTGGTGTCAACAGGTACATTCAGAGTCCAATGTTGCAGCCGAATTGGTTCCATTGACGCGTCAGCTTGTATAGAGGGCAAGTTTGGTTTCAAGACGTTGACTGGTTTGGCGTTTTGTTTCGGCTCAACTATACTACACCATGGTTTTCGGTTTCCAGTAACCAACAACAACGGTTCTTTGTGTATATGGAAAAGGCAAGTGCAATGAGACAAACAATGAAAAGGGCGTTTATTGTATGTGTGTGCTAATAATGAATTGAATAGGTTTCTTTGGTCAGGCAATGCAACTTGGGGGCATCATCATCATCTCTTTGGGTTCAAGTCCCAGCCTGTATCAAGTGGCCTGTTGCTGAAAAAGCTTCTTGGAATGCGACCAAGGCTCGAAAGCCATGCGTTGACTTGATGGTTGTTGGAAGAGCATGGCTACTGTGTTGAGGTAAGGGGGAATTTGCAATGGCCCGGTTGTGAATGTGTTTAACCAACACGCTCTTCTCGTGATAGACTCCTTCTTTCCCTTGAGGATTTCTTTTCATGAGGTGGGAAATGATTGGAAGGATTGGGGATCATTCTTTCTTTGGAGAGAATGGATGAGAACAACTACGAGCCTTGACTCTACGTAAGTGAAGTCCTTCCTTGCCATGGATCGAACTGGCCTTGCGTGATTCGTACAGTGCTTTCTCAAAAACAAGGGATCGCCCGACGTTGCTCGTATGGTGGTGGTGATTTGGTTTTTGAACTCCTTCTGATTTGCTTTCTTCCTCGAGAGGCCCACCTAACGGTATACCAAATCGCATCATTCCCGGTATCAGATGGTCTAACTTGGCTGTTTTTCATTTTTAGAGACAACGATTACGATGAATATGACACTGACGATGACACAACAGCGAGGATGATCGCGATGATAACGACAACGACAAAAACAAGCATGGCTTGCTTTTCTCTTACTAAGATGATGTCGCTTGGGCAAGTTCCATATCTCGTTGACACCCAGAAGGAAGTCTGCAGGACCCAATTCTTTTCTACTTGTGTCCCTTTGGATATTTGCGATACGACTTTGAGCACGACGAGGATGACGACTATGTAGGAGCACGACTACGACGACGGCTAAGAATCATGATGTCCGAGGAAGGTGAGGATGATGTCAAAGTAGGTAGCTATAGCGGCATAGAGGAAATAAAGGATGGTTTATTATTACGGCACTTGGACTTTGCTAGCTTATCCCCTTGTTGCATGCTTGTGGATTACATAGTAATATAGCTGAGATGGGATAATAAAAGCGGATGGGTGGTTTCGTTCATTAATATCATACACATTGTGTACGTACCTTCCTAAAGGCAGTCATCATCATCATCAATCATTTGTGCTGCAAGCTTGCAAGCACGTGTGAAGATTATCACATGTCATTTCAACCAGTTGTTCACTTTGTTTCTAGTGCTCTCAACACTATCCCTTAGGAAGAAACAGCTCCATCACGATTACAGCATGGCAAACATAAAGAAGCCCTTAACCCAAAGTTGTACAATCAACCATGGGGTTCTTTATTAGAACAAGGCTGATCGGAGTGGCTGGAAGTAACTTGTATACAAAGACGTTGGATGTTCAGATTCTGGCACAATCAGATTGCAGCTTGCATCGAAAACAATCATCCTTCCGGTACCTCCCCAGCAACAACATCCTTTTTCGAATGATTGCATGCTTCACAAGTTTCTTCACATGTGAAATAAAGGCTAAACGTTGAACCCAGAAAACTGTGCTCTTCCTTTTAATGATAGCAACACACATCTAACAACGGGTGGATTAATGCTGATTTGATTTAATGCTTTTACCACTGCAGACTAAATGGCACCATCTAACAATCAAACTCGTGATGTTTCGATTCCAGTCCCTGAATCTCGTGAACACATGCAGGGGCACTTAACCATTCCTGGTATTAATCCACAACGAAGGACAATGATACATCCTTACCATGCTGCTGCTACTGCTGCTCAACAACAATAACAAAAGCAGCAACGATGATCATTGTAACAAAGAAGCACTATACTTCCATGATGGCCTTTAGGTGTTCAACGATCTTGAAAAGGCCATGGTGCCCATTCAAATCGGCCTTCAGGCTGCCATAGCGACAATCAACCGATGTAGCAAAAGCATTCTTTATTAGAAGTATAATACAGCACTAAGCGTCTTGTGATCTTCGCTAAATAATGAAACAAAGAGACGAAGCCTGCTGAGTGGGAAAAGGGAGGAATGGGTTTATACAATGGCGACACTACATGATCCTGTACAGATTTCTTTGTCCGAATTGCATGATAATTTGGGCAGAGGAGGCTCTTGGGTTTCTTGCCAGGAACGATATGGTATAAATACGACGACAGGAATCACGATCTATTTTCCTCATCCACTACAATCTCATCATCACTTTTCATTCAGTTTCCATTTTATCGCCATGGTGTACGTACATAATCCCCTTGCAATCCACCGGACATTATTTTTTCCTAACCTTTATCCCAATCCCATAGGTTTTTTGACGACTACCCTGTCTCATCCCTCGCAATGGAGCATGATGTGTCTCCCTCATCCCCAACCTCAGCCTACAAGCGGCATCAAGAACAGGATGAATCTGTGTCATCCTCGGCCAAGCGCCGTCGAGTACTGCATGATTCAACACCATACATGACTCCCCATGATAAATGGACGACAAGGCCAAGTGAAAGCCATCTTTCATCTGACCCCCGTAACGTCGCGAACCGTAGGCGAAACCAACGTTTTAAAGAGTTATACGCTGCTTTGGATACCGAGCTTCCATATAGTCACCGCCCTCGTAGCGAAATCCAATTGTTGGAGGGAGTTCTTACACACCTTCACCAGATCAAGGAACAATTTGAGGAATCGGAAAAAGCCCGCAAGCATCAAGAAGAAAGAAAGGAAGCAGCCCTTCAAGAAGCTGCTTAATGCCACGATCCCTAGTCAAGAGCTTTAGTCCTTTCACTTTATGCTTTCAAAGCCACGTTCATGAGGTGTCCTTCGAGGCTGATTTAAAATAAATCATATATCATTTGCGTGACCGATACATTTACACATTGCACTTTTACCATTCACCATTGATATGCTTGAGCATAACGAATTAAACCAAACTTCTGTAACAAGCACGATGTTGGGAAACATTACTCTCAAGCTTACGTATCCACTGCCTTCGTCTATCAGCACGTTGTGGCCAAAGTACAAAAGCATCTCGATCCAATGATGTAAAAAGACACAATCTACGCTTTAGAGCCATACCTCACACCAATGATCTTATAGAAGGATACCCTTTTAAACTTTTATCACGTTGATCCAATTTTCAATCAATGAGTAAGTCGAAGAATAGCACATGTATGGTGGTATGGATGTTTATCAATAAAGATGATAAGGGAATAACATTGCAAGTTGAATAAGATATGGGAGATGGAATCAATAGAGGTATCAGGGATAATGAGGTTCTTGTATTCTAGTTGCTGCCGTCATAATCATCCTTCATCCATGATTGGAAAACATTTGCTGCATGATTTGATCGAGTGTGTCTAATATAACCATTGGCTGTAAAACACTTTCTCTTTGTGAATGCCATCCCATCCATCATCATCCTCAGTCGTATCTACGTGACATAGTCCATCCTTCCTGCTGACAACGCGCCAAGTAACCAAAGCAACAGGACATCTCATCACTGCACTTGATCGCATCCATCCATCAAATCCAATATGGTGGTCGAAAGAGCCATGCGATCGCTTCCTTTTCCATCCGCGTTGGTTAATCACTTGCTTGGTCATTTCCATTGCAGCTCAACCAGGTGAAGATTACTTGCATTGCGTTGTATTTGATAGCTGATATCGCATCATCCATAGGGATCACATGCATTACAGCAAGTTGCTGTATGTAAATAAAGCTGCTTCTATAAAATGGCCATCTGCTGTCCACGTAAGAATAGGCTGTGAGGCAAGTTGCTGCAAGTAAAGAACGCTGTTGGATACGAAGGAGTAAATAGCTTGCTAATAGTAACCGCTGCAATGAATGCTGTTACGATTGGTCGTGGCAGGGAAGCGTGCAAGGGTGTGTGCTGTAGAAGAGTAACAAGAAGGCTGTGTACACGCCATGGGCTTGCCATTCAGTCAAAGGCTTTCTGATCAAGACATTCGTAGGATTGACATGATGGGCTGAAGCAGGACAATCGTTCGCATGGTGATAGTTGTAGTTGAATGGGCCAACAGATGAGAATGGGGGAAGCGACAAGAAGTTGTAGGAGTGGAAGGAGTGGGAAATTAACTACCTCGGACACCTCTTGTATAAATGCATGAACACTGTACATCAAGCCTTGATTATGAGATTACACCTGTTGATCCTGAAACTGTCACACAAGATGCTCTTAGACATGCTGATCAACTTTGTATTATAAAAGAACCTATACTTCATTATAAGAGATTGAATGGGAGGGTACAATGTGGGTTTACTATGGAGGTCGGAAATGCAGGTCAGCCCCAGATTCATGATTAACCGAAACAATATACATTACCTTGGGATTCCCCATTTCGAACATGAAACTTTGTCAGGAGGTTCGCTAGGACATGCTGATCAACGCTATTCAAATAAAAACACACACTTCATTGTGAGGATTTAAAATGCGTGGCGGCCTAAATGGTGGATGGTGGGAATAAAAGAGTAGACGGCCCACCGCCCCGAAGTTGCCCACTTCCAACTTGACAATTGGTCAGAAAGGTGCTCTCGAGCACGTTGATCAACTTTTCTAATAAAGACCTCACGCTTCATTCGAAGATTTTGATTGAGAGCGTCCAAAAGTTTGGAAGACGGAGACATTCGCAGGGTCCGTGTCTCAAGAATTTTCAGGTTTGCTGTTGGAGCGTAGCTCACTCAAATCGGCTCGGATCAAGAAACTTGAATGATGGAAATGCTCGGCTGGAGCAGGAGCATTGTTCACATGTCATAAAATGGATAAAAGCTGGAAATGGGAGGAAGTGGCTATTAGCTGCCAATGATGGGCTCTTACTGGAAAGTTTACGTTGACCTTTCCAATCATGTAAAATGAGCTGAGTTACACAAAGAGGTCCTTCTGCATCTTTGGCTCTCCAACGTCTAGCTACTTTACATTAAACAAAGACCACTCTTCATATAGCATCACGCTTACAAACATAAAGGTGCCTGTATCTCCGAACTTTACAATGAAACGTGGGGTTTTGAATAGAGCAATGTGCTCGGCTTGGCCAACTGCACCTTGGGTGTAAGTTTCACGATCAAGCTTGCCAATCCCAGATTTCGCAATGTCGCCACCAGCCAAACTGGATCTGGAGGTCGACCTCTTGAAACTTTTTTCGACGACCAAAAAATATTTTTTGGGCTGTTTGCGACATTGAACGCGAAACTTTCACACAAGGTGCTGTTGGCCAAGCCGAGCACATTGCTCTAATAAAAACCCCACGTTTCATTGTAAAGTTCGGAGATACAGGCACCTTTATGTTTTACCTATGCTGTAAGCGTGATGGAGTTGCTTTTTCCTAGTGGATGGTGTCGGCTGCATTAACAGAAAGATGAAGAGCTGCGTGAAACGGCACGTGATGGTTACACAGACACGTCCTTGACAGGTTGCTGCACAAATGGATGATGATGATGATTGCCTTTTGTGAAGGTACGTAAGTAAAACAGCATCCAATAATGAAGGTATGTCAAGGTATGCATCACATTTGCATGTAGAAGAAAGTCGAGCTGCATAAACCAATTTGTATATGTAAAAAGATACGTATAATACATATTGAACGGGTCACTCATCCTGAAACTCAATGGAGGGATCTCTTCACTTTTTCTCTTCTCAAGCTCATCCCACTTCCCACTCCTCCTTATTGGATCACAAAAGCCATGTACTTCTTGCATGACCGATAACCGGACCACCTTCTATTATTCCGTCTTCGAAGCAATAGTATGTAATCCACAGCTTAGATTTAAACGTTTTTTGTATCAATGGCATAGGTAACGTTGCACGCATACAGAATACAGGAACTCCTGGCATACGCAAAGCAAGTGCTGCATCGATAGCCTTACGAAGATAACGATATTCTGTAATGTGCATATGAGCTTCGTCATAGACAATACGACCAACATGAGGAGCTAACGATTCAAAGGAATTCTTAAAGTTGGGATGTTGACATTTCTCAAGCTGCACAAAGATGATATCCACATCCATCATACCTTCATCTACACGTTCACCTTTCCATACTAGGTATTGGATGTGGTGTTCAAGAGCACGACGTTTCAAATCATGCAAAAAAGCCAAAAGTGGTACAATGACAACTGTTACATCTCGATACGCAAAGAATCGCGATCGCACATCATGGGGCAAAAAAGATATCACTTTTACCCGTACCTGTGGGCATGACAATGAATACATCCTCGTTGCCAAAAAGAGAATGAAGAATGCCTGCCGCTTGTTCGGGTGAACGAGGCTGGGCCTCTGGACCATGCAACGCTGCCAAACATTGCGTCATGATCTCATGTTTTGTTTTATCATCAAGCGGAGGTGGTGAGACAAGCAGCAATGGTGCTACTGATGATGATGATGATGATGATGATGATGATGCTGACAAGTCATCAAGATCCACTTGCACCGATAATTGGCTTTCAGTTTCAGCGCGACCTTGTTCAATGCTATCACGAGCAGCTACAGGGCTGATGCTAATACGCTCAAAATCATGAACCTTGCTATCCATCATACCCAATGTAGCAGGTTGTTGTGGTTGCCGTTGCTACAGCATCAGCATGGCGATGAGCTTTTTAAACATGGCCTGATTGCTTTCATTAATACTTTTCTGTAAATGTAAACCTGCGGCCAAAGTATCCATGGTTTGCTGCATGTCACGAAAAACAGGATGCAAAAATGACAAGATTTGTGTTGATGCCTTTGCAGCAATAGCATCGGCACAAATACGGTTAATGTCACTCGCAGCACGTGGTGCATCAGCATCAACATTGGCATCATTATCATTATCATCATCATCTTGTAACACGGTATGTGGCGCCTTTAACAAGCCGATGATATGATGCCATAAAACGGAAGTAAAGTAATAGCGCTCAAACTCATCATCAGGTACCTGAAGAGAGGTTCCTGATTTACGACCATAAATCGATTCAGCAGTGCGACTCGAGTGACCTTGTTGTGCATACGCACTTGTCAAAAGCTGATGTTGACCCATTGACATTGCATACATGACCGGGGTAACGTTTTCATTTTCATCCTCCTCATCATCACCATCATCATCATTAGCATTGTTCTCATGCAAAATCAAGCTACGTTCCAATGCATGGCCTTCCTTCAACACGCCTTTAATCAAACACGTGCAAATATGGATCCATCTGTTTACACCAATATTTACATCAGGACGTGTGTGCTTTTCCATCAATCGACCCAAGCTGCTGGTGATTTCTTTGGTGGTCACCACCTTGCCATTGTTGACGAAAAGGTTGTAATTGAGCACCTCGATACGTCGTTTAAGCTCATCGTCATCATCAAGCAACAATGTAGTTACAACCTTTTCCATGGGGCGAACATACACGAGATACTGCAAGACAATCTCAGCTACGCTGCGAGGGCAAAAGCGAACGATCAAGCTTTCATTGTTTGTGATTGTTCGTGTCTTGTTGTATGTTTGTATGAGAGCCACGGTGTCCTTGAGCCACATGACACCTCGTGAAGCACCTCCTGCTTTTTCTCGAATGTTGGTCATGGCAAACTCTGATCCACGAGCTGGTTGACCACACACCATATGCAAAAGTGTGCATAGGTCAACGCACCATTTACCCGCATCACGCAACCAGTCTTGAGCAGTGGAGCGATTGAGTCTGATTGGGCTATCATCGGTAGCAGGTTGGATCCAATTACCTCGCAATTCATCATCACGGATAACATGCCCGAAAAGCATAAACTTGTTGTCATCATTCGATAAGGCATGGTTACGACCATCATCAAGGAAGCTGTAATCTTTGCCACCTGTCAAATTATTATGGAATTTGCGAACGCTATTAATGGGTGGGATCAACTCTGTTGAACCTGCATTCATCATGATGCGAGAATACAAGCGATGCTCAAGATCCTCCTTATGTGCTCTAATAACGGCGATGATTTCATGCAGAGAGATATCAAATTCACCATTGACATTCATGGTCCCTGGACGTCCTTCCACGTTTTGGATGACAGGCAAATTGAGCATGTACTTTTGTCACCTACAAAGGAGTCCCAAATTTCTCATCAGATTGAGAGGTTGCCTTTTGCCTATAAATGATAGGTATACCTACCACAAAAGGTCCATCAAGGAACACAGCCAAATGCCATTAGGCAGCAATGAGCGCATCAAATAGTAAAGCAAAAAAGTGGGCTACGTACATAATAGATGAATGCATCATGAGTGTCATCATTTTGGGGTTTACCTGAAGACTACCCTTGAGACTTACCAAAGGCCATTGATGATGATGCGCGTTCAAGTAGAAAGAAAGGGCGTGTGATAGTGTTGGTGCAAAGAGCATTGTTTATATGCGATGGGGCGTGGGTATTGTTGTAATGATTTATCAAACTGATAAAGTGGTCAAGTACCATGGAGTAATGAGTCAAAGGGATGGAAAGGTACATAACGGTTGATAAATTGTAGGTGACATAGGTATGTTCCTGATGATGATTGTTGATCCTTTGGTTGTTGTTCTCCCTCATTGGCCTTGCCATCTTGTTGCTGCTGCTGATCCTTGTTTTGCTGTTCTTGTTGCTTCTTCTTCTCCTGTTTAGTGCGTCCTTCTCGAACACCACGTCTTGTCTTTGAGCCTCGACCTCTTCCGCCAAAGTTGTAAATAGTTGCCTTATCGATATTGTCTTGAATGTATTGTCAATTGAATGAATCTATGTGTAAACCAAAACAAAGCTTTACTTACCGGTGTTCATGATGAAGAAAATGGGTGTGTGTGTGTGTGTGTGTGTGTGTGTGTGTGTGTGTGTGTGTGTGTGTGTGTGTGTGTGTGTGTGTGTGTGTGTGTGTGTGTGTGTGTGTGTGTGTGTGTGTGTGTGTGTGTGTGTGTGTGTATGTGTATGAGAGAGAAAAAAAAGAAAAAGTGAAAGAGGGATTTTGCTGGCATTTTCAGACACCCTCTTTTTATACCACATGCGCGCGCTTTTGTGTCACGCTGCTCATTACGTGATTTTTGAAACGAGTGATTGTCCCATGCCAATGTTAGCTATGATAAGGAGTGGAAGAATGGATCAAAGAATGCGTGTTCATGGGAAGCTTTATTTCGTGTAATTGATTGTCCTTGACACGTTCATAATAGCATCATGTATACTCGTGGTCCCATCCAAAAGAGGTGTGCATGATAGTCGTGTTACAAGCTCTCAAATACGCGTGCATAATGGTAGTACCACCAAAAATAGTATCCATAATAGCTGCTGCATCATCGTGATCCCATCCCAAAGACGTGTTGACAAATGACGTGATCCAATCCCAAGTATCCTTATGACATTAAATGTAAGACGTATCCACAATAGCTGTTGTATTTCCAAATGAAAGGCGCTGGGCAAAAATCCGCTGTATAAGCAGGGTTTTGTATCCGTAGTGGCTGCTGTATACTTGTCATCCTATCCCAAAGACGTATTCAAAGTTGATGTTGGATGTTGGTGGTCCAATTCCCAAAGATGTGTCCATGAAGATTGCTGTATGATCGAGATCCCATACCAAAGAGGTAGTAACAATGGCTGCTGTGTACTTGAGTTCCCTTCCAAAGACGTATTCACGTTCGCTGTTGTATGATCAAGGGTCCCATCCCAAAGAGGTAGTAACAATGGCTGTTGTATAATCGAGATCCCATCCCAAAGAGGTATCCACATTCGCTGTTGTATAATCCAAGCCCCATCCCAAAGACGTACCCTCAATGGTTGCTGCATTATCCGTAATCCCATCCCAAGTGTCACCATGATCCAGAAGAGACTTCTTGTCAATAGCTGCTGTATAAGGGAAAGAGAGAGCCTACCACGAGAAGAGCATGTTGGTTCAACACATTCACAAGCTGTTGCAAATCACCTTTACCTCAACACGGTGACCATGCTCTTCCAAAACAAAACCCATCGTCATCGAGCCATCAACCCAACGCAAGCCTTAATAGCTCTGGATGGGTTCCAAGAAGCTTTTTCAGTAAGCTGGCCACTTGATACACGCTGGGACTTGAACCCAAAGAGATGATGATGATGCCCCCAAGTTGCATTTGCCTGACCAAAGAAACCTATTTCAATTCATTATTAGCACACACGTACAATAAACACCTTTTTCATTGTTTGTTTCATTGACTTGCCTTTTCCATGTACACAAAGGCCCGTTGTTGTTGGTTACTGGAAACCGAAAACCATGGTGTAGTATAGTTGAGCAGAAACAAAACGGCAAACCAGCCAACGTCTTGAAACCAAAGTTGCCCTCTATACAAGCTGACGCGTGAATGGAACCAAGTCGGCTGCAACATTGGACTCTGAATGTACCTGTTGACACCAAGCGTAGAGCGGGAATAGCAACGAACAAGAGGAAGCAACGATATCGCCATGGCAACCACCAACCACCAAGCACGCTCCATTCCTCAGCACTTGGACACACACATTCTCCCTGACAATGCATGTTCAGAACTACATTAACACCCCACAGCCAACAAGAGCACTATTCTATAATACATTACCTTGATTGGAATGTCGTGAATGGGATAAAAGCAGAGGAGGAAGAAAGAGAAGAGAAAGAGTTGTCTCAAGTCGTGAAGCTACCGTCCCAAGTTTAAATCCCCTACTGCAATTACAACTGAGGCCACTCAATTACCCCACACACCATCCACCCATCGTCATCATCACCCTCACGATAGATAATAGGTACCCGTAAATAAAAGAATGATCCTCTTGTATAGCAAACGGATGTGTGTCATTTCACATTTTACATGATAATGATGATCCAACAACAGCTATTGCCTTTCTACCAGGTTAGCTCGAATCACGAAAGTTGAAGGACGGAGAGGATGGGCTGGAGCAGAACAATCGTTCGTATGCATTGGATTGGGAAACAAAGGTGAATGGGAGGAATGGGCTATTAGCTGGCAGTTTACAAATAACTTTGCAAAATGATTTTTGTGAAATTGGATGATGTTTTGTGCTTGAGCGTTTTTCAGTCAAATCAGCTCGGATCAAGAAAGTTGAAGGATGGAGAGGATGGGCTGGAGCAGGACAATCGTTCGCATCCATTGCGTTGGGCAGCAATAGGATTATATTTGAAGGTATCATATATCACGTGCTCGGCGTGATGGGAGTCGTGTCACATGTAGACGGGGATAAAAGGGCAAGTTGGGCAGAGTAAAATTTGGTGCTCTCTTTCACGTCTACTGTTTTTCTCTCCAACTGCATTTCACTGAACTGGACATTCGCATCCACGTCAACGTCTTCTCTACGACTAGTTCTCAAACGATGACAGCACGTACATGGCAACTTCGACACTCTTTCTCTACGCATTATGCAACGAACAAGTAGACCAAAGATCGAGTTCTTTTTCCAGCTTCGAGACGAGGAGCAACCAGCTTCTGGAAGTGTCTTCCTTGAGTGACACTACAACATGTTGATCAGCTTTATCTACGGCCACGGGATACGGTCATTGGTATCACCTCGTCATGTATTCGACAACACGCGTCATTATGCAACACACGGCTAGAGGATGTTTTGTATGATTCACCATCACCAAGGTACAAAAAGGAATGGATGGGCGTATTGGCCAAGAAATAGTTATTAATGTTGCGATTCATTCTTGCAACGTAGGATGTGGTGATTGACTTGGAGGATTCCCTATCCGATCGCGTTACCAAGTATGCATCAATGCAATCAACACTCGCCATACATGGATTACATCAACACCTGATTGGGATGCGACAGGAGACGACGAAGCAAGAGATTGACCTCCAGCTGACCATGTGGCTCTTTTGAACAGCATGTTGGATTTGCAATGGTTATGGATGGATGGATACTATGAAGCACCTGGGATGTTGTTTCGTTACTTGGCGCATCTTCATCAGCAAGGATGGAACCTTCTTTTCTTCTTGGCCTTTCGATCTCTCTACTATTACAATGAAGAACGATTACGCATGCTATGCCAACTTTTACGCAATCCCAGTTGAGAAGAAAGGAGTTACAATGATATGGGGTAAAGCGATGAGTATCCAAGGAAGATATCCTCTTACGATGACACAGAGGGATGGTACGGAGATATGGTTCGGATACAGCAACGACGAATGGGCGGCTTTTGTGCGCTTGGACCCGCATCTTGGATGATCAACGAGCAGTAGTAGCAAAGCTTCATCAAGAACTGTCATACGCAAGATTCCATCAAGCTATCAGGGGCACCAGAGGCAATACAAGAGGCCGTGATGCGCATTTACGATGCTAACACGGATCGTGGATAAGGCTGAGGATGCTGATGGATTGGATGGCATGGTTGAGAAGACTTATATACAAAGCGCAATTTACAGTCATGGATGATATTGGAATACGCGATTGAAATCACGTGGCAACCGATTTGGGATCCTGGATGGAGATGCTTATGATGGCAGCAGCCAAGGACAAGGTCACACAGCGATACCCATGGACTTTATGTACTTTTCCCATACCTATTCAATTTGAATGTGTCGTTCCCTTGCCTTATTTACTCGATAAATGGAGTTGGATTCAGCATGATTAGCGTTTGTTCCTTTCAGCTCACTATGCAAGATGTGGATCGCATGTTTGGGTTTTGGTTGATCATGGGCTAGGTGAAGTTTGGATTGAAAATTGGAAGGCCAGGAAGTGAGGGTGGGTCGTTTACATCATCGTATCGAAAAGATGCTGTACATTCCTCGCATTGGCATTGCTGCGATATTGGATAGGTGTAGGTGTCTTAATCCTTGGATGTTGTTCCGTTTTTATTGGTTGAATGATGAAAACATAGCTATGAGTGGGTGATGTTTAGGTAATTCTAGTATGGATACGAGTGCTGTGGCAATAAACAGAGATTACGGGTGTTGTGGATGTATATGGCAAGTGATGTTCCTTGACGATTGAATGTCCATAATGATGATTTATTGGCTCCTTTTCCTTATATCATCTTAAAGAGGTCATGCATTCATAAAGATGCTAAACGGGTGTTGTCAAATCAGAAGGTCACCCACAAGAATTCTACTAACATGTGTTCATATGCGACTACGCCCATGGATACAACAGGCACCAATGCCATCAGCTCCACTAAGGCAAGGGCGGAGATGAATGGTACTAAAGATGTGTTTGACACGGTACATCATCCCTTTTAGGAAGCCATTCCACATCCGGCTGATATGGATCTTGATCACGCTGTATTTGCTTGTTTGATCTATGCTGGAACACGTCGGCTAATCTTACTTAATAATGTGGATCTCCGAGTAGTCCACTGCTGTGGTATGTACGTATGCATAAATTATCTGCCATCATTTTCTTGTCACATAGACCCTTACTCGTGCCTTATGGAGACATACATTTAACAACGACGACATCAACCTTCGAATAAACATTAATGAGAAAGAAGCCACTACTATCAGCTCTTTGGGAAACGCCATTGCCATGGGTACAACCTTCTGAGTAAACGGTTTCCATGGCTACACAGCATGATGAACATTAAAGTATGTGCTTGTTGGCGTTTTCGATATCCAAATATGAATGAAAGAAAACATTCCAACCAGGATACACTCACTGCTTGGGGATGAGCCTATGTGTCATGGGTCAACTACTTTTCTATACAATACAGTATCCATGGTATGATTTCCATCATCCAAATTCTATGGGAATGAATGTTAACGTAATTGAGACTCGGATTGGGCAAGGTGGATACCATGAACCATATCCATGGGTTTCCATGTTTGTGCCACACATGTAAAGGTGGAAGTTATCCTTGATACACGCATGGAAGGTGTAGACGAGGATGTATTATACCTTCTCATTCAACATGCATTTTAAGGTTTCGGCGCGCCATCAAAATGCGATACGGGATACATGCATATGTATGTTGACATCGTTTCAAATAGCTCTCGCTCTCTACTGTAGCGCCATCATCAACCTTAACTTTTTCATGCTATGGATGAAAACTTATATAAATGGGAGGAGCTGATTGAGGAGACAGTAGTATCACTCCTCAACCAACCATGATGAACTTTAAGCTCTCTCTTTTTATTACGCTTGCCTTGTTTGCACTTTTGGCGTTGGCTCAGCAAGATCCCCAGGCGGTACAAGATAATGGTGCGCCTATTGCTAAACGTGATTTCAACAAAAAAGCTTGCTATCGGAAATGCAGAAAGTTGAAGGACACCCAAGTTCCGGCTTGTATCATTGGCTGCAAGATGGGATACATGCCTCCAATCAACGCTGGTGCCCAAATAGCGATCGATGGTGTGCATTGCCATTCGTCTTCAGTATATTAAGAAAATAATCATGGCCATTCCCAATACAATAAACATGGCTTCTTGATGGATCTGCTCTTTACTTGTCATGGTCTCATGCTCGTTAATACGTGCAATGATGATGTTGATCGAATGTACTAGTCTTCATGAAAAGAGTTACTGCTTTTAATGTATGCGTGTACGATCCAGAACACGAGAAAGGGCTGTTAGCATGAAAATAAAGGATCTCATTATCTCGCCATTCCAAAGACAACATTTTCTATTCTCCCATATTTGGAATGTAACGTACATCATGATCCTTGCTGGCTAAACGAAAAGTAAACCCAAGTTGAAAGTTACACATAAAGCTTATTTTGAAGGAATCATCATCCGAAAATCTTGTTTTCTTTATTTAACTATCCCCTTAAGCTATTCACTCTTCTGGGTCTAGTTTTTCGAGTAAACCTTGATATACATCAGCCATATTTTGAGCGGCGGCAAGATCAAAATGGCGCGCACGATCACTTATCCTCGTTCTTGGGCTATCATCATTGGCGAGCAAGTCTTCAAGCTTGGCCAAAAACAGCTGCCAGACAGCGTTGGGGTCGGCCATCCTTGGGATATCCAATGGGCACATGCCGAACATACCAAAGACATAATCAACTGGATCCATGCATTGCCTTGAAGATTTTCCAAAGGTATCAAACAACTCGGGCCATATCCACGAATCCGATGGCAATGAGACACGATGCGAGTTGAGTTGTCGACACGTCGAGATCTCTTCTACACAAGTGATGGTCATCTTTGCCATGCTTTGTGCAGCACCTACATATGATAAATAAAGCATGTTGGATAATGTGCCATTTGAAAACATCGTGCTTTTACCATGGCAAAATTTGGAGACGTGGATCACATCACCCATGCCGAAACCAATGAGATCTTGTGCGTCGATGGTATTGCTATCAAAGATATCCACCGCTGTTTCTGCTATCACCATCACATTTTTAGGTAACACGATCTCTTGCCATGTCCAAACGCGCTTCCACCATTGACATTGCATGACCTTGCCCAAAATATTAGCCTTCAGAGAACAATAGTCAAGGTAATGATCTGCTCCAGAAAACATGATGCTCTTTTCGTTTTGTAATCGATCACGTGAGATGGCATGGATTTGTGGTATGAGATCAGGATCACAATCAATCATGGCAATGCATTGCTGGCAGCACGCGTAAATATCACCCATAATAGCCAATGGTGTATCCGTACGTGCACACAAGACATCAATCCACCAATAGCTGTCAGGGTATGCTGCAAGTAGCTTGAGCAGTGTTTCTCTTTTCTCAGGTCGCATGGAAACAGGTGCCGCAGGTTGTCCTTTTTCATCATCCACAAGATCGCCGATCGCGTGCCACAGGTGTAAGTGGGTCTTTGAGACACCCCAAAGATGGGACAATGCGTAGTACGGTAGCAACAACCTCTTGCGTACGAATGTCTTTTCAATTTTTACCCTTTCCATGATACGGTTCCGATGATAGGGATCATTAGCAGGCTTAACAAGTTTCATTTTTGTTCCATTGTCTGGGATATGGAGAAGCAAAAATTGAGGATGGTCCAATAGCTGAATCCCTCGTTGGTATTCACGTCCATCATCAGGAAAGCAAGGCTCAAAAAAGGATCTAGAATAATCATGACCCTCATTATCATCACCATCATCATCGCCGTCTTCATCACGGTCCACGGAATACTGTGTACATACAGGTTCAACATTCAACTTGTTCGATAAAGGGATTCATGGCATGGCTCAGCTTACGTGATAAGGATCAAAGGGGCTTTGTGTACAGTGCATCATATTACTAGTTTGAAGGAAAAGGAGGAATAAAACTTAAAAGATGGGATGCATTGCGGTTTTTTGGTGCTTGGTCTACGTACATATCTATTCATGTCATATGCAAGAAGTTTATCCCCCAAACCGGTGCTTGATCATATGACAACAATGCATGGTCTCGCATCATCCTGTATTCAACCCTCTTCCCCAATTCAACATGAAGCGTCAAACGTATCTCTGTGATTTGCCTACAAGCACTGACCCATGGGAATAAAACATCAAGGAGGAGAATCCACGTCTACTATCATGCTGCAGCGTGTGAAAGCACAACCCATCAAGCAAACAGGCAAATGTAACATTCCACAATGTGGGTGGCGCACAGCTGCTTTATTTGGCAATTGAGGTGGAACCAATGGTGGTATCTCGATAATCTCATTGCTTGGCTATCTAGATGTTGCATGATGACGAGTCGCCTTGTGATCGATCCATCCACCGGCAATAGTTTTGATACTTGCATTCAAAGCTGAAATCACCAAGGCAGATCCCATATGATGTGTATCCACCATCGCAAATCCAATCATGTGATCCTCATCTTGAAGTAGAAAGACGTATGCTGGTTGGTGATAATGTGCTGATCGTCATGTTGTAAGTAGTAGCCAGAAAATCGTATCATCTCCATGGACTTGAGTAAGAAGTGTAGGCACGTTTACAATCCAATGCGATTTCGTCCTTATCCACAAAATCGATCCCTGGTCGCCTATGATTCACTTGTGGTACCAATGCAAATCCACCACCATCCATGCAAAACAATCCGGGCATCCTTTCCTCTTACAGAAACCTGTTCAATGATACGAATGTTAGACCTCCTTCCTCATATGTGTATACACTATCCTTCATGTTACCTTGTTGCATCGACCGATCATTGTACCTCCTGGATCATGTCGCAGTAGGCTATCAGCTTTCAATAAAAAGAGTGTATGTCGCCTTTGGTGCTCATGGTTGACATGCTTGTATAGGGAAGCAATAGAGCTATCGAATACAGATATCAGATCATCCCTGCCACTACTATGTGAGAGAATACCATGCTTACCAAACTCATAGACTGTAACCCTCTTCTCATTTGAATCTTCAGGACTTGTCAACGATGGCGAGCAAAAGCACATTGTACTGCTGAGTAATGGTGGCAACGAGGTGGAGATGGAGTCAGCTGTTCGTCATTTGGAAAGAGATGGTATAGAACGAGCAAGGTGCTGGGAGTGCCAAGCTGCGTAGAGTAAAAGAACAAGAGAAGGAGCACTCGTTTTGAAAGCACAATGCAGATTTATCGTTGTATCACTATCCCCGCACCATCTCCAATCACACCTTATCCACCACCACCCTCCATAGTCGTGTATCTATATAATGTAGCTTTTACACTAATAAAATCAGCCGTTGATTTTGGATAAGAATAGACCAATGGTGCATCATCATCTTTTACTCCTTCAAAATCCCGTATACATCAGCCATATTTCTAGCAGTAGCTAAATCGAATCGTTTCGCATGATTGCTTATTGATATGTAACTTGACAGTCTCTCCAAGAAAAGCTTCCAAACTTCATCAGGATCCGTCTTGCGTGGAACGTACATCCTGAGTACGCCGAGGACACCATACACATAATCAGCAGGATCCATGCACCTCCTATTAGATACCCCAAAAGTCTTGACCATGCTACGAATAGCAAGGGCCTCAACTTCAGGATCACCGAAATGTCTCTTCATCATCCGTGATACCCCAATTTCTTCCAAACACACACCATCCGGATGGGGGTTCCAGTCGTCATAAACTATTTTGTATGTGTCAAGTAGTGTGGGTAAATAGCCGAAGCACTTGCAGCGATTGGCACAAACCTCCAAAACGCCTGGCATTGTCATCAAGCTTCATAGGAAACGTTTCTAGGTCATCAATATCCAGGGTATGAGCAGTGGATAATTGAAGGGTCCTTTCAGATACCAAGGTGACAGTCTCTGGTAATACCATTTCCTGCCATGTCCACACACGTTTCCACCAATGACATTGTGCCAGAATATCTAACATCTCGGACGCCTTCCAAAATGGTTCTCTCTGCCGATCATCTTCAAGTGTTGTCGTATCTCGTAGTTGACCCATGCTTGAATGGACCTGTGGAATGATATCAGGATCACAATCAATCATGGCAATACATTCAGTACACCAAGAATAGATATCCCCCATAATATCCAAAGGCGTATCCGTGCGAGCACACAAAACGTCAATCCACCAATAGCTGTCGGGATGGTGTCTAAGTAGCTTGAGCAATGTGTCACGTTTTTCAGGTCGCATGGAAACAGGAGCCGCTGGTTGCCCCTTTTCATCATCCACATAGTCACCAATGTTATCCCAGAGATGCTTATTGGTTACGGTGATCCCCCAAAGATGAGACAATGCATAGTGTGGCAACGGCACCCACTGAGTCCTCTTGGTCCGCTTTTCCATTTTCGCCATGATACGTTCTCGATGATACGAATCACTGGCAGGATTTACAAGTTTCATTTTCGTGTGGCCGTTGTCAGGAACATAGAGTAGCAAAAAGTGAGGATGCTCAAGCAACCAGGGTACTTCACGACGATCTTCTATGTCCTCATAAAAGCATGGCTTTATACGCATGAATATTTGGTAAACAAGGCCCATGCCTAATTGCTTCATTGTATAGGTGTATGTACGTACATGGATTGTCATATCCTCGCAACAACGACACAACGCAAAGAATCAAGAGTTGAAAAGAAACGTGTTGGGATTAGGGAGAAGCTGCTTTTGCGCTTCTTGTGGACATTTGTGGCGGAGCATGCACGTCTCACATGCAAGGCGTACGTTGCTGCCAGACACATGCACGCGCATTTTGCTTCACCGATCGGAAAACGGAGCCAGGTTCCGAAATAGTATCATGTAACGTATCACAACAGTGTAGCACACAAAGATCATATTTGGCTAAGGAATTACAGCAGCTATGGGCATGCTATGTATCTCCCTTCACTGATAAATGACCACAGTAGGAAGGATAATCACACCAGCAATGTGCGACCGACATAGGCTCACAATAATCATCCTCATGAATCACCATTCTTATCAACATTGAATACAGCCATTTATTCACCCTGTTTTCCGTTCGCTATCAACCTCCACTATATGGTCATCCTGCATGTTGATTGGCGTGTCATGCGAGAGCGAGGTGACGATTTGACACAAAGCTAACTCATTGCCTTCCCATCCGTCGCGTCCATAACTCCAAATGAATAACGTATGATCCATCCATCATATGTGTCTTTTTAATACTCGTCAAATGCATAGCTCTATCTAGATTGAAGAGGGGCTACTTGCTGTAATAGAATCTTGCATCAGCATCCAAAAAATCCACATACTTCCCTGCTGTATATTGGTCCTGCTAAACGATAAGCGTGTTAGCCTCTCATTCCCCACATCAATATCTCCTTCTATCCTTCATGGTACCTTGATGCGTCAACGAGACCAAGACTTGTCGGATAAGCTGACGGGGTAGTTGACGATGGATGTGGAGGATACATCTTCGAAAGAGCAGCATGTAGGATACCAGTACGATTCGCATAGGACCATTCTTGTGAATAAAGGAACCCATTCTCATGTCGTTGTGTTCTTGTAGAAATTGGAAATCTGCCGCCTTTTGTGATTGTGGTGCGCCATTGCTGGTCTCTGCATCCAAATACCATCCAGAAAGCCGACCAAGCCATATTGCGACAGCATGCAAACCAAGAGATCCCAATCCTGTACATCCGCCTTCTTCATCCATTCAGCCCATAGGTACGGCGACGTAGTAGTGGAGGTGATCACCATCCAAAAGTACTCCCCTGTAAGCCTTGAAATGTTCACCATTCTCTTGCAAAAACCATGACGTGATAAAAGCCCATCCATTTGGTATATACTTATGTCGCCTACAAATGAATCCCAAATTTCCCATCAGACTGAGATACCTTTTACCTACAAATGTACCTACCACAAATGGTCCATCAAGGCACATAGCCAAATGTCACTAGGCACAAATGAGCACACCAAGTGATAAAGCAATGAAGTGAGCTACATAGATGAATGCATGCATGAGCACCCTCATTCTGGAAATCACATAAGGCTATCCCTGAAACTTACCAAAGGCCATTGATGATGCTGATGATGATATGCATACAAGTAGAAAGAAAAGGGCGTATGATAGTGTTGGTGCAAACAGCCTCGTTCGAGCTGATAACGTTGTCAAGCATCTTGGAGTACTGAGTCGAAGTGATCAACAGCTGATAAATCCACCTACCACTTGAAAGATGATTTTTTGTAGGTGTCATAAGTATGTCCATCTGTTGGCATCCTCTCCTCACAACGCGATTGCTCATCCACGTATCGTATGGCTGATCCAAATATCGCCGTCAAAAGTGTAGCTCAATCCGTGGCTGCTCATAATACGATGCCTTCCCCTTCATCACCCAAGCTGACTACTTGACGACACCCATGTTATCATCCATTCCATCGTATGACCTCATCCTCCTTACTTTACCTTTGTATGCGTCTTGAAGGCGTATACAATTAAGCTTGTTGATATATAGAACGCGCATAGAATGATCGTTACGAGTTGCTCAAGTCGTGGCACGGTGTTTTAGGAATGCACAATCCTCCTGGATCTAGCCGTTGATGGGTTGTCGATAAGACAAGGTTGTTGCATACAACGTATGGTGTCTCATTCTCAGTAAGTGTTGTTGCCACAATTGTTGAGGAAGATGGGTTGTCAGTTGTCATAAGATGGTAACGGCGACTCGTTTCTTGTAGATGAGGTCTTCCATTCAATCGTTTGTTGGAAAGAGGTGCACCACAAGAATTCAGTTGCTGCGAGTGTTGTTGAAAGAGAAAAGAAATAAAAAACAAGTGGCACCACGTTGCTATGTTTTTGTACGCGTGCAGACCCCGCATATGACTTGTGACACAGCCCACCATGCTCAGCACGCAACGTTGCGTGTTCATACGTATCAACTTGCTTTGCATGTAAATAGAATCACTCAATACACACTAGTACTGGCTGGAGCAATAGAATTATAGCCATGCTCATATTTTAATACGCGTCATGTCGAGGGATTCTTCTGTTACTTTTGTGTTCAAGAAGTCAGCGTTTTTTTGGTGCAACATGGAATGTATTTGGTCAGAGAGAAAAATAAGGAGGAGGATGCCCATTATACCTTTGCTGCCATCATAAGGTCGCTGGTATACGCGTGAGTTGCTAGGTGCATGAATCGGTCAATATGGCTGGACGAAGGAATCTACATGGTTTTATCATCGGATGATGTGCCTTGACTTCCGGGGGAGATCCATGTAACGTATCACAATGTTTGTAGCACATGCATGTACCTGGCTTTGCTGGAAAAGGTGGTTGGCTTAACCCCATTCCTCCTCGCTAATCCATCCCCACACTCTTTTCACGTATTCATCAACTACAGCACTTTTCCAATGACCATCTTCATGATTCCCATTATGAACCACAATCCCAAACACTTGGCATGTTCCAATCCTCAACAGCCTTGCATCCCACAAACGAGAGTCCATATAAAAGAGTAATGTGCAAGTATATTGTTCGGTCTTTGTCATCCTAAAATGGGTCGGGTCATTGTTGGTCGGCATAAAAAATCCCATCGAATGTTGTCACCATGCCAACCTGATCATCCAATCCAGCATCCTCAATCAAATTGCCTTGATTCACTCATCTTGTCAAGTAACCAAATTGCTTTCATGAAAAGTTGGACATGCTGGATGAGATATCGTTGATACTTCTTGATGGTGGATTTGACATCTGGTTTCCATGCCAACATAACGACCCATCCAAGTTACCTTTTCCAAATGTCCCCCTCATCCAAATGATGGCTACTCAATAGTATACGTATTAGATGTGTTCCTTCTAGTGATCCATGCCATCCTCTTTCCTTCCTTTACCTTGATACACCAAGAGGTGATGATATCTGCAACAGCAGTAAGCGTGTGTACATCTTGTTGAAGCCAAGGCCTATGCATAGAGTTCCTAACGAGTTGCGTTATATAACTTTTACCAGATGCTGCTAGTGTCTCGCAAGACCAATATCACACAGACCTATTGACAAGCTCAAGGCGTCTCCCCATTGTCAATCAACTTGCCGTGGATCATGAGCGGGAACGTGAGTTACACGTCAATGTCCCCCAGGGCTTAATGTCAACGCATCGGTAACTTTTGTCATTCGTTTGGAAGGTGGTTGTAGCACTGGAGTTGCTCGATGAGTGAAACTGGGTGCTGTGGTTGTTGCAAAAGACGTCGACACAGCAATTCCAGCATCGCTTAATCACTTTTAATCCCATTTTGTATCACCAGTCTTGGTTTCGCATTGTCCCATATGGTAAATGTTATCTTCTCGCTTATACACACGCCCAGAAGCATCTCAATGAACATGTGCCTTCTTTATTTCATTGTTCAAGTTATACTATTATTCAGTACAAAGTAGACACATACTCCTTTTAGAAGCCTCATTGTATCATCCACGTATGCATTGTTTATTATAACGGTGTCATTGTTTGTGTCAAGGCCATGTTTACATCCATCTCACGTACTACCACCAATAGATATTCTTATTTGATTAAACAGAAAAGTAATGTACAATGGTATTCTTATCTTAAAGAGAAGCACGTGACAGGGTCAAATTTGGGCTACAGTCTTGCAAATCATTCAATGTATCCTCCATGGATGGGCTTGTGTTATAGAGAGTGAGATGCTTTAGCTTTTGGTATTCTCCAAAGTACAAGATCCCCGTGATGGAAAGATTATCAGCGCGTAAGGAAAGGCGTTCCAGATGTTCAAATGTGCTGAATAAAATGACTCCTTTATACAAGGCAGAGGTGCTGAATTTGATATCGAGTGCATGTAGATCAGGGCAATTCGTCACCAAGTGGGTTGCCAAATTCAAGAAATCACCAGCGTCAACAACATGATTACGCTTCCCAAGCGACAAGTCCGTAAGATGCTTCAATTGGCCTAATCCATGCAATAATACCGGTGCCTTTAGGATGACGGGTGGGACGACAACATTCAACTGCTGGACATGTGCACTCATGTCTCTCCAAGGGATCCAATGCTCCATACCACCTGCATGTGTACGTAGCGTAAGGGATTTCACTTGTTGCATACCACGAAAGGCACCCAGCAGTAAAGAGCATGTTTCGAGCGCGTCATAATAGATATCCAAAGATTCCAATGCAGGTGCGTGAGATAGCACCCACCATCCAAAACAACGTAGGATTGCATCGCCAAGGGGATGATAATACAATCGCTTTAGGCGTGGGAATTGCAAGGCTGGTGGTGGTATCGAGTCGTCTTGTTGCGTACCAACCGAAAGCATCATCGTTTCCAGCGTTTCACAATTGTTGATCATCAATGTCCTCACATGTTCAATATCAAATTGATCCCCATCTTCATCCTGCACGTACAATGATCGTAGACAGTCTTGCTGTTCACTTTTCACGTCGATACAACGTCGCATGTCATGGGAAGCGAATGTGCTTGTGTATTGGAATGTGCTGATTTCCAAATGTTGCAAAAAAGGACAATACGAATGAACCATAGGAAGAAATGAAGAGTCATGGCATGGACATAATACAAGCGATCGTAACGAAGGGAAGTGTTCCAGGAGTAAAAGAGCATGACCATGTGTGATGGGGATCTGCAGATTACGTAATTCCAGGGTCGTAAGGGCAGGGCGTAAGAATTGCTGTTGGCTGGGATAGGATGCTGAAATCGGCTCGTCTTTGTCCCACGATGCACCACAAAGCGTCAAATGTTCAAGATCAGGACATACTTGTAAAACGTCGTACATATTCAACCATGAGCTTGCTCTCAACTCAATCTTTAGATATTTCAAGGAATCACGAACGCCTATCAAACATGCCAGGAATTGTGTATCGTTGACCGAGGAGATCCCTTTTTAAAGATTGCATCATTAGAATAAAGTGATAGAGTTGAACGCGTTCACTTACCATTGACGCTGATCTTACGCAGGTGGCCTTCATTTGATAAAAACGCAAAGTCTGGATGCATGCCATAATTGTCGATTTGTAATGAATGCACGTGGTGAGATAACTGCATCAGCTGGCGTGGGTAGTGTGGTTCTTTGGTGTCATCAACGCGATACTGTAAATTTCCAAGCATGAAGCGCCTACGCCACGTTTTCGACACATGTAGATAATGACAAGGTCTCTTCACATGCCATGTTGCATCATCATCCCCCATTAACAATGGAACCAGGTTGGTGGATACGATCTCCAGGGGCAACCGGCTGACGAAATCGACACGCTTATTGTTCCATGTCTCCGCTTCCGCCACCCGTTGCCATAGCTCCCGATTTCCATCATCCACATTGAGACCTTTGTCATACTGCCATATGGCGCGCCTTTGTCGCCCTTGAGACGCATATATTCGTCCCTTCAAAAGGTAGCCGAGTGCACGAGTTGGGTCGAGCTTCAAAATCGCTTCAGCATCGCGTAAGGCTGTGTCAAACTGGGCGCATTTCAAGAGTGCTAATGAGCGTTCTTCAAGCAAGGTTGTTAAACGAGTCAAGCATTCTTGAATTCGAGTAGTGGATTCTGTGACAATCGGGCCGCATTGTTGGTGAGTTGCTGTGAGCGTGATCGGTTGAGAGAGATTCACCCAAAAGAGGTCTTGCATAGCTGGACAAGCAATGAATGCATATTCGCCCCCCCCCCCCGAGATCAAATTACCACACACTTTTCCTTTGCCATATTAGGATGCACGTGATATGATAAATGTTTCGCACTATATGCAATGACCCATCATGTAATGTGTGTTTAATAAAAATGACATAATTTAACTATGCAAACATTGGTTGATGTAAAAAGGATGGGTTCATGTGTGATAAAATCAGAGTCATGATTCGCCAATACTGGAACTGGACCTTGTTATCATTCAAAATTGGGGTTCGGGTAGATCCATCAGAGGGGCGATTGCTTTTATACACGTCTTGTAGCATTCTTGACGTTTTTGTTCGTCAGCTGCAGCACTACATTCTGGATCACAATTTTTGCTGAGAGCCGAGTTGGGACCACCGTACTGCTTGAGATAGTCGTCAACTGTTTGCTTAGGAGTAGTAGGATCAGTGGAAACACCACCGAGACCTCCAGGCAGTCCTTGTTCTCCGTCAGCCATTACGCCGAATAGGAAAGCAGCACCGAATACAATGAGAGATGATGAGAAACGCATGGGATCAAGAGCAGCACAGAGAAAAAGAATAGCTTGATAACGAGAAAAAGTAATCATGCATCTTTTATAGTCTTACAAAGCAAAGAGCCCCCCTTGTGCTATACGCTTGTCTTGTAGAGAGGGAAAACTCCCTCCTCCTTAAAATCAGCTCGGTCATTCAAAGTTCATGCATGATGATGCTCATCAAAGCATTACCAAATAAACAAAATAGACAGGTTGAATTATCATCATGACATGTGTGTGTGCCTATAGCACCAAAGCATTGGCACATAAAACAACGAATGAAGGGTGATGGCTCTCCTGCCCGTTTGATTCTCATTAACATCTCCTCTGTTAAGAGAATCATCAACATTGGATACGCCACAAGGGGTTGCAGACTATATAGGAGTTGATCGTACATTTCAGGGGATCGTGCATGTCATCCTGGATGTGGGGTGTCAACACACACGCCATCGGGCTGCAGCTATTTACAGAAAAAGGGTCAACTGGCAATTCACCTCCTCCATGTTCGCAGTATCAACCATATACTTTTGCTAGCCAATTAAAGCCATCAGGAAAGGCTCCTTGCTTCACAATCATCGCATCCTTGTTAATCTCAGACACATCTTACTGCTACTGTTACCCCCTGCATATTCATGTAACAGGTTGTTTTCTAATCTCAATTCCTACATAGGCTGTTTTGATGTTGTGTATGTTGAATACATGCATCATTTAGAGCGGAGTGGTGTAAGATCAGAGTATACGGAACGACAAAAAACGCTTCTCCAATACCATGCTTGGCTATAGGGTCGTTTTTCATTTACATCAGCTCCTCGAACGTACCTGTCACAGTAGTTCCATAATGCTAACTAGATGCAAACAGATGGCTTCCACATGTGGGCAAAAGGTCTTCTTCGCCATCATCAAGCAAAAGCCAACGGATTGCGTTAGGGCTCATTTACTTGACATTGAGACTATGTTATTTTCCAATTACATGCAACTCCACCTTCTCCAGTATACCATGACCCATTATGCAAACCCATATCGATGTCAACGGTTATCATCTTTTTCACATGAAGGATAGCGGCGTTGTACCACGTTGCACTAGGGTGCCATTAGTAGCACACAAAGTGTAGCTACGCATACAAAAGACACAACATTCACACAGCAATGTGTCGTGTGGTACGTATATGTATTTTCATATCAACATACAATAAAGGGATTATACAAATGCAATAGTACTCTATCTTTGCTCAAATGTCACGCCATGATATTTTCAATTGGGGATGGGTTTGTCGCAATCGTTCCAATTCATGCTTCAATTCTGGATTCCGAGTGCCATAAAGGATGAGGTGCCGTAACCGTGGAAATTTTTCCAAAGCCATAATACCATGAGTAGAAAGATCCATAGCTGAGAGTGCAATGCGCTCAAGGTGATCCAATGTAGATAGAACCAATAAACCCGTATTGAGACCTGCCGTATCAGCTTGAATGTCCAATTCACATAAATGATGACAACGGGTAGCAAGATGGAGCATCACATAGTTGAACAATTCATGTCTTGATGTTATCACCCTTTTTCCAAGCGACAAACGTTTGAGATGTGTCAATTTGCTGATTATGCGTCTCATCGTGTCGTCCCTCATAGGAAGCGATGCAGGAGAAATAACGAGTTGTTCAAGGCATCCATGATGTTCCATCGTTTCAATCAATTGTAAAAGTGGTTGAATGTCACCATGAGCCGCATGAATCCCGAGGGTTCTAATCCGTACCATGCTGCAAAGCGCTTCACGTAGGCTGGGAGATCGCCTAAGGGTGTCGTTGGTCAATTCCACATGTTCCAGTATTGGTGTATGATAAGGCATCCACCATCCAAATAACGGGGGTCCATGGCGTTCACTAAATGCATAGCTCAGGTATCGTAGTTGTGGAAACTGTAATGCTGTTGGTGGATCTGGATCATCACGCAAAGTACCAACCAAGATCGTTACTGATTCAAGCGTAGCGTTGTGGGTCATCATGCACTGTCGAATGTCTTCAATGTTGTAATACTGAGCATTCTCATCTTGAACAAAAATGGATCGTAATCCATGTTGATTGTCTTTGCGCTGCCGTGGTGGTGGTGGTACTATTGAGGATTGCGTACTGATTACCAAATACTGCAATGAAGGACAATGCTGGTGTATCATTGGAAGGAGATCAGAATCATGGCATGGATAGAGGGTGAGTGACTGCAATGATGGATAATGTTGCAGCAATGAAAGGGCATGTTGGTGGTTGACTGGGTGACGCAACTCGCAAAGCTCAAGGGTGACAAGGGATGGCATAGGTCGCATAAAGTGTGGATAAGGATGCAATGTTGATAGCAAGTCGGCACTCGACACCTGGTAAGTAATCAGCCTTGAAAGATGAGGACACCGTTCCATGATATCTCGTACATTCAGCATAGCTCCTTGTGTCAACCATATCTCCAAGTCATGCAAAGAAGCACCCACTTTGCGTAAACAAGAGAGGAAATTCGATTCGTTAATTGGTGAAATCCCTTTTTAAAGAGGAGATGAGTAAGGCGCATTGGATATAACGTAGTCCACTCACTTGCAACCCACATCCGCCGTAAAGTACTCAGCTGTCCCAAGACACCATAGCCTTCATGTGGATTGTTATTGCAGATCTCCATAGAATGAACGTTGTCACATAAAGAAACAACCTGAGCTGGATAGGGTTCGTTGTCATCAATCACATAGCACAGCTTGCCACGTGCAAATCGCTCACGCCAACACTTGGATACTTGAAGATACGGACATGGCTTTCTTAGATTCCATTTCTCATCATCCATCAATAAAGGTACAATGCTGGTCGATACAACATCCAATGGTAGCTTGCTGATGAAATCCACACCCTTTTGCTGCATCAACTCTGCATCTGCTTTAGCCGTCAATAGCTGCTGCTGATTACGTTGCTGTTCCCCATCATCCGTTCCACGTGCCATGGTAAGGCCTTGGTCAAACACCTCAATTGCTTTTTGTTGTTGGCCATAATACGCATACAGCTTCCCTTGAAGCAGGTAACCAAGAGCACGTGTAGGGTCGAGTTTCAGGATGGCATTCGTGTCGCGTAAGGCTGTGTCAAAATGGGCGCATTTCAAGAGTGCCAATGAGCGTTCTTCAAGCAAACTGGTTAAGCGTGTCAAGCATTCTCGAATTCGAAGAGTGGAATCTGTGACAATCGAATCGCATGGGTGGTGAGTTGCTGTGAGTGGGATCGGTTGAGAGAGATTCACCCAAAAGAGGTCTTGCATAACTGGTCAAGAAGTTGCCGCCCTGAGACCAAATTACCACCCCTACCCCCCTTTTTCTTTTGGCCACTGAAGAATGCACGTGATATGATAAAAGCTTCACATTATATAAGGAATGATCCATCAAGTAGTGTGTATTCAATAAAAATGACATGCTTTAACTACGGTAGCATCAATTGATGTAAAAGGATGGGTTCATGTGTGATAAGAGGAGAGGCATGAGTCGCCAACAGCGGTGCATGACCTTGTTACCAATCAGACGGGGGTGGGGGTACACCGATAGTGGGAGCGGTATCTATAATACACCACTTGTAACATCCGTCAAAGCCATCGGGACCTGCTGGATTGCACTCTTTATCACATTCTTCCTTGATGTGCTTGGCGGCGGCATCACCGACCATCTCAAAATATTCCTCGACTTGTCGCTTAAGGTTGGGATCAGTTAAACCACTAGTGGCAGGTGTTTGTCCGTCAGCCATAGCGCCGAATATAAAAGCAGCACCGAATAGAATGAGAGAGGATGAGAAACGCATGGTATCAAAAGTAGCACAGAGCAGAGAATAGTTTGATCAGGGCAAACAGAAATAAGACATCTTTTATAGTTTTACAAAGGAAAGACCGCCCCTTGTTCCGTAAGCTAATAGTGAAAACTCCATCCTCCTTAACCTCGGTAAAATAATGTTCATGCATGTTAGCCATAAGGAGGTACTTACGGAGTTAGCCATCAAGATTGCCAGTGCGCTCATGAACATCGAAACATTACTAAACAAGCAAAATAGCCTAGTTAAACTATCATCATGGCTGCAATATGGCGTTTGGGCATGAAACAAGATGATGGCTCTTCGGGCTACTTGATTTTTGTCGATATCTCCTCTTTTAAGATGAACCTCCGGTATGCGACAAGCGAGGTGAGAGCTAATAAGGGGTGGATCGTACATTTAGGGAGACCGCTCATATCATGGTAGATGTGGTTGTCAACACACGCCATAAGGCTGCAGCTATTTAAAAACAGCCTCAACTGACAATCCACCTCTATGTTCGCAATAGCAACCCTATTAGTAAAGTCATCGGGAAAGGCTTCGTGCCTCACACCCATCTCATGCTTGTTGATCTCCGATGCATCCTACTACTATTACTACTACCCTTACCACTGCGTATGCGTGTAGCATGTTGAGCTTAATCTTTTAGGTACACTGCTTTGATGTTGTATGTATAGGATTCATGCATCATATAGATCGTGACCATCATAAGTACAGAATGTATAGGGAGTTTCAAGAAACGCTTCTCTAATACCGCATGTCTATATGATCTTACGTTTATACCAGATCACCAAACGTCCATATCATCATAGTCCTAGAATGCTTCCTGTATGCACATAAATGGCTTCCTTACGTTGCGAAAGATGTTTTCTGCTGGCATCTAAAGGCATGTATAGATGATGATAGTAAATGTAAGAGCATTATGGCTCGTCTACGTAACATGAAGCTAACATGTCCTTTTCCAATTATATACATCACCGTTTTCCATAGCACCCTAATCCTTCATTCTAACCCACATCATTGACGAGGATTATCATCTTTTTACAAGGTGGATGGCGGCGTTGTCCCACGTTGCACTAGAATGCCATTAGTAAAACAAGGTAGCTATACAATAAAGCGAATGATGCACGTGATACCGGCATGTATAGCTGCATCTGCATAATTCTCAAGACACAGCATTCACACAGCAATGGGTCGGTGGTATGTGTATGTATTTCATATCAACATTGAAACAAAGGGGGGGGTATACATGTAGGCAATAACACTCTATCGTTGCTCAAAGATCACGCCATGATACCTTCAATTGGGGATGGGTTTGTTTCAATTCTTCCAGCTCATGCTGCAATTCCGGCTGCTTGTTGCCGTAAAGGGTGAGGTGCCGTAACCGAGGAAATTTTGCCAAAGCCATAACACCATGAGTAGAAAGATCCATAGCAAGGAATGCAATACTTTCAAGATTATCCAATGTAGAAAGAGCCAGCAAACCAGTATCGAGACCTTCCGTACGAGCTTGGATATCCGATTCACATAAATGACGGCAATGGATAGCAAGATGGATCATCATATTATTGAATGCTTCACACCTTGATGGGAACACCGCTTTTCCAAGCAACAACCGTTTGAGACGTGTCAATTTGCCGATAGCATGTCTTATCTCAGCGTACGTCATGGGGAATGATGGAGGAAAAAAACGAGTTGCTCAAGGCATCCATGGCGCCCCATCGTCTCAATCAATTGTACAAGAGGTCGAATGTCACCAAAAGATGTATTTAATGCGAGGGATCGAATCTGTGACATGTTGCAAAGCGATTCAAATAGCCTGGGACATCGATTGAGGGTGTCGTTGGTCAATTCAACATGATCCAATGAGGGTGCATGATACGGTATCCACCATCCGAATAACGGGGTCCATGGCATGTATGTAGTGAACAACGCAGTCGTCGTAATCGTGGAAATTGTACTGCTGGTGGTGGATCTGGATCATCATTCAACGTGCCAACCAAGATGGTTGCTGATTCAAACGTGGCACTGTGGGTGATCATGCATTGTCGGATATCTTCAATGTTGTAATGATAAGCATACTCATCTTGAACGTAAATGAATCGTAGCCTACGTTGGTTGTTTTGGTGCTGCATTCGTTGTTCTGGAGCTGAAATCATTGCGGACTGGGTACTGATCACCAAAGTTTGCAAGCAAGGACAATGCTGGTGTATGATTGGAAGCAAATTGGAATCGTGGCATGGATACAAGACGAGTGATTGTAATGATGGATAATATTGCAGCAATGAAAGTGCCTGTTGAAGGTTGACTGGATGACGTAATGAATGAAGTTCAAGTCTGACAAGAGATGGAATAGGCCGCATAAAGGAGGAATATTGATGCAACTTGGATACCATATCGGCACTCATCACGTTGTAAGTAATCAAACTTGAAAGATGAGGACATCGTTCCATGATATCTCTCCCATTCAACATGGTTCCACGTGTCAATAATATCTCCAACTCATATAACGATCCACCGATTTTGCGTAACCAAGAAGCGAAATGCAATTCATTTGCTGGTGCGATGCCTGTTACAATAAGGGATGAGTAAGATGTACCGAATAGTTAGAGTAGACCCACTCACCTGCAATCTTCATATGTCGTAAAGCAGTTAGCTGTCCCGGCATACGGAATCCTGCTTCTGGATAGTAATTGTCGATCTCCATAGAATGAATGTTGTTGGATAAAGAAACCAGCTGAGCTGGATACGTTTCGTTATCGCTAACATCATAGCATAATTTGCCACGTGCAAATCGCTCGTGCCAGCTTTTGCATACTTGGAAATACGGACATGGCTTGGTGAGGCTCCATTTTTCATCATCCATCAATAAAGGCACAATAATGGTTGATACTACGTCCAATGGTAACTTGCTGATGAAATCCACACCTTTTTGCTGTATCATCTCGGCATCTGCTTTGGCCGTCAATAGCTGCTGATAATGTTGCTGTTCCTCATCATCCATTCTACGTGCCATAGTAAGACCTTGGTCAAACACCTCGATCGCCTTTCGTTGTAGGCCATAATACGAGTACAGCTTCCCTTTCAGCAGGTAACCAAGAGCCAATGTTGGATTGAGTTTGAGAATGGCATTCGTGTCGCGTAAAGCCATGTCAAACTGGGCCCATTTCAAGAGTGCCAATGAGCGTTCCTCAAGCAAGGTGGTTAAGCGTGTCAAGCATTCTCGAATTCGAGTGGTGGATTCTGTGACAATCGAGTCGCATTCGTGGTGAGTTGCTGTGAGTGGAGTCGGTTGCGAGAGGTTAACTCAAAAGAGGTCTTGCATAGCTGGTCAAGAAGTGAACCGATTGCCGCCCTGAGAGCAAATTACCACACCCCTTTTTTCTTTGCCACTGTGTGATGCACGTGATATGATAAATGCTTCACAATACATTTGCAATGATCCATCATGTAATGTGTGTTTAATAAAAATGACATAATTTAACTACGCAAGCATTGATTGATGCAAAAGGATGGGTAAATCAGACGTGTGTCACCAATAAGGATGCAAGACCTTGTTATCTATCATTCAAAATGGGGGTGGGTCTACACCTATGTTACGCGCCTCAGTTGATATGCACATCAAGTAACAATGATCATAGTCTTGGGTCTCCTTTTCGCATTGTGAATAACATGTGTTCCTGATTTTGTTGGCGTTGTCATCACCGATCATATTAAAATAGTCCTCGATTCGAGACTGGATCTGTGGGTCAGAGTGAAAACCACCGTCGCGTGGGGTTAGTGGTTTTCTGTCAGCCATCACGCCAAATAGAAACGCAGCACCGAGTACAATGAGGGATGACGAGAAATGCATGGGATCAAAAGTAGTACAGAGAAAATGATAGCTTGATAATGGGGAACATCAATAAGGCATCTTTTATAGTTTTACAAAGGAAAGGCCGCCCCTTGTGCCATAAGCTTATAGTGAAAACCCCATCCTCCCTAACCTCGGTAAATTAAAGTTCATGCATGGCGATGCCCATAAAGATTACCATGTCGCCGAGGCACATCGTAGCATTACCAAATAAACCACAAAGCCTATTTGAATCATCATCATGATAGGTATGTGTGTACGTCAAACCCGTATCTATTAGCTATAGCACAAAGCGTTTAAACAAGAAATGATGGTGGCAAGGTGATGGTTTGCTGGGTGTTTGTTGTTTTCGGCATCTCCTCTTTTGGGTGAATGGTCCACTTGCGATATGCCACAAGCAAGAGAAGTTCATTGTGCTTTTAGGGAGACCGCGGGTATCATCATAGATATGGTTGCCAAGCAACACACGGAATCGGGCTGCAGCTCTTTGACAAGAGGTTCAATTGCCAATTCATCCTAGTGTGGTTGCAATGGATTCTGTACCTGGTCAATCAAAGTGACTGAGGAGAGAGGTGCCATGCCTTCACAATCATCTAATGCTTGTGGATCGCATATACATCTTCTTGCTACAGATCGGGTAGTTGCTTTAGCTTCTACCCCTGCATATTCGTTTAGCAAGAAGATTTATGATCTCAGTCTTCTACGAACATACGTTGTACATGGTGCATGTATGCAACATGTAAAGCGAAGTGCTATTATACGCTAAGAATGTGAAGCGTCAAAGAATTCCTTCTCTAATACCGCCTATGTCTATAGGATCGCTTTGCATTTATAATGAGTTCATCAAACGCACATAGCTTAGTAGTACTAAAATGCTTCCTGGATGCGCATACATGTCCTCCCTACGTAGCGAAAGGTCTATTTTTCGCATCATCAGGTATGCATTAAACGTATGAGCATTATGGCTCGTTTACATAACATGAATCTAACATGTCGTTTTTCGATTACATGGATCATCGTTTCCCTAGGCATACAATAATCATTCAACCTAATCCACATCAATGACAAGGATTATCATCTTTTTACAAGATGGATGGCGGCATTGTCATACGTTGCACTAGGATACCGTTAGCAGCACAAGGTAGCTATACAATAAAGCGAATGATGCACGTGATACTGGCACGTATGGATGTATCTGCATAATTCTCAACACACAACATTTACACTACCATAAGGCTCGAGTCGTATGGGTATTTATATATATATTTGCATCATAACATTTATAAGGTGTATGTCTATGCAATAGCACTCTATCATCCCTCAAAGATAACGCCATGATATGTTCAACATTGGATGGGTTTGTTGTAATCGCTCCAGCTCATGCTGCAATTCTGGCTGCTCGAATCCATAAAGGGTGAGATGCCGTAACCGAGAAAATCTCGCTAAAGCCTTAATACCAGAAGTAGAAACGTCCACACCAAGGAATGCAATACGTTCAAGATGGTCCAATGTAGATAGAACCAGCAAATACATATCGAGATTTTGCATACGGGCTTGAATGTCTAATTCACACAAATGGTGGCAATGGGTAACAAGGTGGAACATCATATAATTGGATTCCTCAAGCTTGGATGGTATCATCCCTTTTCCAAGCGTCAAGCGTTTGAGATGTGTCAATTTGCCGATCGCGTGTATCATCGTAGTGTACGTGATGAAGGGTGATTCAGTAGAAAGAACGAGTTCCTCAAGGCATCCATGACGTCCCATAGCTTCGATCAATCGTAAAAGAGGTGGAATGGCACCATGAGTAGCATGCAGTGCGAGGGATCGAATCTGTGACATGTTGCAAAGGGCTTCAAGAAGCTCGGGGGATCGCCAAAATGTGTTTTTCAAAACCACATGTTCCAAGTTCGGTGCATGATAAGGTATCCACCAACCAAATAATGGGGGTCCACCCGATGTACCCAATGAACAATGTAGATGTCGTAGTCGTGGAAATTGTACTGCTGGTGGTGGATCTAGATCCTCACGCCTCGTGCCAACCATGATGGTGACTGATTCAAGTGTAAGACTGTGGGTCATCATGCATTGTCGAATGTCTTCCATGTTGTAATATTGTCCATTTTCATCTTGAATACACAAGGATCGTAGTCCATGTTGATTGTCTTGGTGCTGTAATGGTTGTGGAAGTATTGTCATTCTCGACTGCGTACTGATTACCAGATGCTGCAAGGAAGAACAATGTTGGTATATCATTTGGAGGAAGCGAGAATCACGACATGGATACAGGACGAGTGATTGCAATGAAGGATAATACTGAAGCAATGAAATCGCGTATTGATGGTTCACTGGAGTACGTAATGCACGGAGTTCAAGGCTGACAAGGGATGATATAGGTTGCGTAAAGTGTGGATATGGATGTAATGTTGATATCAAATCGCCGTTCGCCACCCCGTAGGTAATCAACCTTGAAAGGTGAGGACATTGTGCCATGATATCCCCTACATTCAACATGGTTCCTTGTGTCAATGAAATCTCCAAGTCACCCAAAGATGTACCGATTCTGCTTAGAGAAACCAGGAAATACGATTGATTGCGTGGTGAAATGCCTTGTAAAAAAAGGGGAGGATGAGTAAGGTGTTTTGTGTATATAAAGGTAGACCCACTCACCTGAAATCCACAAACGCCGTAGAGCACTCAGCTGGCGCGAAAAATGAAAGCCAACTTGTGGATTGTAATTGTCAATCACCAAAGATTGAACGCTGTTGGATAAGGAAACAACCTGAGTTGGAGACGGGTTGCTGCCATAAATATGATAACACAGTTTGCCACGACCAAATCGATCACGCCAACTCCTCGATACTTGCAGGTATGGACATGGCTTTCTTTGGCTCCAAATCACATCATCCATCAACAAAGGTACAATGCTGGTCGATACAACATCCAATGGTAACTTGCTGATGAAATCCATACCCTTTTGCTGCATCATCTCTGCATCTGCTCTAGCCTTCAATAGCTGCTGATAATGTTGCTGTTCATCATCATCCATTCCACCTGCCATAGTAAGACCTTGGTCAAACACCTGGATCGCCTTTCGTTGTTGGCCATGATACGAGTACAGCTTCCCTTTCAGCAGGTAACCAAGAGCCAATGTCGGATCAAGTTTGAGAATGGCATTCGTGTCGCGCAAGGCTGTGTCAAATTGAGCGCATTTCAAGAGTGCGAATGAGCGTTCTTCAAGCAAGGTGGTCAAGCGTGTCAAGCATTCTCGAATTCGAAGCGTGGATTCTGTGACAATCGAGTCGCATTCGTGGTGAGTTGCTATGAGCGGGATCGGTTGACAGAGATTCACCCAAAAGAGGTCTTGCATAGCTGAACAAAGAAAACGACGCAGGCTGGGCATTGGTGATTGTGTTACATAGTTTTCTCTATGCATTGGCCCCTTTTTCCTTTTCCACATTAGGACGATAGCTGGTGCACGTGACATTTTAGTGTCATCTCCATCGTAATTCACACATGTAGGCAATGGCCCGTCATGATACGTAGTACGTTTAATAAAAGCTACAGGTGATAATTATCATAATAGCTGATTCAATACTGTTGACGCCTCGTGTACAGCCGTTATTGCTATCTTGGTTTTAATTGAAGTTGGGTGCGGGAAGGCCAAGGAAAGGAGCATTGGTGGTAATACAGTACTTCAAACAACCGTCTTTGTCATCAGGTTTGTCAGCAGTATATGGCATATCAGAGCACCTGTTTTCACAATATGTTTGAAGCTGAGGATTATCATGGAGCTTGAAATATTCTTCGACTGTTTGGGTTTTAGTAGAGCCACTGGCAGCAGCAGCATCAGGATTACCAACGCCACCTTGTGATGGGGATTCTGCAACTGCCACTACACCAAGCACAAAAGCAGCAGCAACTAGAGCGAGTGATGACGAGAAATGCATGGTTGTTTTAACAGGCGGATATACGGATTAGAAAATGGGATGGGACATCTTTTATAGTTTTACAGAGAAACCATCCACTTCTTTCTCATAGGTTTCTGGGGAACAACATCCTACCCCTTACAAAGAGGCTCTTGGAACGTTACATACACACAATCATTTAGGAGATCGAGAGCATCAACATTTGGGAATTGGGTCTAACATCGCAATTCATGAACCATGGATGAACGAGTTGATAGCCATAGCCGGATGTATAACGAGAATTTCTTCCTTCGGAGATCCATCGACTTTTGGATGGTTGCCACAACGACATGCATTGATGCAGGAGGCAACCTTGCTTTAGGGAGGTATAAGTTCTCGTAGATGTTAGAACCCATTTCCATCAAAGCAGAGGTAGTGATAATCGCAAATGTATTAAAAACACCATCCTTTAATAAGCAACCGTATGACACAGGTGGTTTACGTGGTAGCGGCAATGATACATTCGTTCGTGATGATTCAACTTCAATTGCATGCAGCATGTGATGAATCTACATTTGCTACTCCTTATTGCTTATTTTCCAAGGGGTAATCGCCCATTGTTTTAGCTTTCCCCCCTGCATAAAGATACGCGCACCACAAATCCGTAATCAGAAGAAGGCGATTATGTACCGCCCACCTCCTATACCACCTTGCATGTATTTTAGGAGTGTGGTGGCTGGTTCCTTGAAGTGGGTATCATTACCATTTCTTCAGCCAAACTATTTGTAGATGTAATGACCTGTATATGATGAATTAGCTGTGCATTATGTCGAGGATCACAACAGCTGCAGAAAGGAATCATTGTCATTTTACGTAGCCATAGAAACGGAGTGATTTTAATCATAAGCGAAGAAAAACGAAAAGCAAAAGGACTACGTTATGCATGACACATTACGCCGCCACCAAAACCTTCCATGTAATCCGAAAGAATGTTCCCATTAATCTAATTTTCCAGATACATCGCTTGGAGGTGTAGCTACGTCAAAAGGAATATGAGCAAGTGGTTCATCCATCTCGATGCCTAAGCTTTACCTTTATGAAAGAGCCATATACCATCATGATAACGACGACAACAAGCTAGGATAATGATGAAAAAAGCTCTAAAGATCAACACAAGCATTACTACAAGGATCGAGAACAAAGTAGGATATCCATCATGGTACTCACAGCAACATGAGCTTTAAAGGTGCCAAGAATGAAAAGATGACGTGATGGAAGAAAGAGATGTGGCGACAGCATCCTTGTTTTCACCATCATCGCTCCATGATATCTCGTATATCCAACATGGTTCTTTCTGCCAACGATGTCTCCAACGCATACGGCGATGCACCGAATTTGCATAAACAAGAAAGGCCATTGGCTGATAAAACGCTCTTTTTTAAAAGAGGAGATGAGTAAAGTGTACGGGGGATAAAGCAGGTCACTCACCTCCAATCCTCATACATCAGCTCCTCCTCGATCATACGACCAGCGGACTGTAATTGGAGGTCTCCATACAATGATAAAGAAACAACCAGAGCTGGATACGGCTTGCTGTTGTCAACATCATCATAGCACAGCACGTCACGTGCAAATCATTCACGCCCACTCTTGGATACTTGTAGATACGGGGATGGCTTTCTTCGGCTCCACTTTGCATCATCCATCAGCAACGGTATAATGCTTGTGGCTACAACGTTCAATGGTAGCTTGCTGACGAAATCCAAGAATCCCGATGATATGTCCTACATAGGTCACATACAAACGTAAGACATGTACATCCCTAATCGTGATGGGGAACTATCCATAGATATCAGATACCATAATCTTCTTCTCATGGAAGAATCTTACCGAGTCTTACTTGACATATCATCTCGGCATCTTCCTTTGCATCCAATAGCTGCTGATGTCGTTGTGGGTCCCCATCATCCATTCTACGTGCAATACTGGGACCTTGTCAAACATGGCAACTGCTTTTTGTTGGTATCCACGATACGCGTATAACTTCCCTTTCAACAGGTAACCAAGTGCTAATGTCGGATGGAGGTCCCGGAATGGCATTCGTGTCGCGTAAAGGCTGTGTCAAACTTGGCGCATTTCAAGAGTGCTAATGAGCGTTCTACAAGCAAGCTGGTTAAGCTTGTCAAGCATTCTCGAATTCGAAGCGTGGATTCTGTGACAATCGAGTCGCATTCGTGGTGAGTTGCTATGAGCGGGATCGGTTGACAGAGATTCACCAAAAAGAGGTCTTCCATAGGTGGAGAAGCACAAAGAAAACGACATTGGGCCCCCTTTTTCCTTTGCCTCATTAGGACGATAGTTGATGCACGTGACATGTTAAAGGCTTCATCATCGTAATGGACGCATGTATACAATGGCCCATCCGGATACGTAATACGTTTAATAAAAGCCAAGATATCAACTATGCTAACATACATGTCATGTTACCCTAATAGCTGATTCAGTGATGTTGGCACCTCGCCGTTGCTTTCGTAGTATTAAACCTTTAGTATTACCTAACAGCCTAGCAGATCTAATACCGCACCATGAATGGTGCATCTACCGTCGTCTCATCTCAGCTATCGTTTCACTCCATAGAATATAAATACACATGTATCGAGCTTATTTTAAATACAATCCTTATCTTCGTCTCACTGACGTTTTGTCTACCTTTATTTCTTGCTTGATACAACATACATATATGCAATAGGATCCCATCTCTGCTTAATAATCACGCCATGATATATGCAATTGGGGATGGGTTGTTGTAACAGCTCCAAAGCTTGCTGCAATCTCCGCTGCTGGGTGCCATAAAGGATGAGATACTGTAATCGATGGAACTTTGCCAAAGTCATAACACCAGCAGCAGAAAGATCCATGGCAGGGAGTCCAATGCTTTCAAGCTGATCCAATGTAGATAGGACCAGTGACCCAGTATCGAGATCTTGCATACGGTCGTGAATGTCCATTTCACATTGTTGACAGCAATGGGTAGCAAAAAGCATCGCATCAATAAACGGCATACACCTGAATGCTATCATCCCTTGTCCAAATGACAAACGCTTGAGCTGTCTCAATTTGCCGGTCATGATGGTCATTGGAGTGCTGATGATGGTCATTGGCTTCATGACGATGGTCATAATCTTTACTTCGGATTAATCCCTGACGAATGCTCCACTAGCAAGGTCGAGTTCTTGAGGGCATGCATGGCGTCCCATGGCTTGAATCAATTGCATAACAGGCTCAACGTCACCTTGATTAGGGATTGGGTGCGAGGGACGTAATGATCGATGGCATATTGCAAAGCCTGGGAGATCGCTTCAAGGTGTTGTTGTTGACATTCACACATTCCAGTGATGGTGCATGATATGGTATCCAATATCCAAATAAAGATGGTCCATAGGGTGAACGCACCGAACAATGTAGATGTTGTAATTATGGAAAATGTGTTGCTGCTGGTGGATCTGGATACTCTTGCAAAGTGCCAACCATGATGGTTGCTGATTCAAGGGTTGCACTATGGGTCATCATGAATGGTCGGATATCTTCGATGTTGCAATAGCATGTACTGTACTTTGGTCATCAACAAAGGAGTCTCGCATTTCCCAGACTGGGGCGGGGTTGTCTTTTGCCTACAAATGTACAAAGCACCCTTTTAATAACATTTATCTATATACCAACGGAGATGATGGTCATACTTACCACAAAGAAAGGATCCATCAAGGAGCAAACCAAATGGCGTTAGGCAACAATGAGCACACCAAGTGCTAAAGCAACAACGTGGGCTACATAATAAATGAATACATCATGAGCACCATCATCTTGTAGATCGCATTAAGACTATCCTTGAGACTTACCAAAGACCACTGATGATGTTGATATGCAGACAAGTAGAAAGAAAGGGCGTATGATAGTGTTGGTGACAACAGCCTTCTTTATATGTGAGTGATCGTGGGAGTTGTTGTCATGATGAATCAAGTTGATAAAGTGGTCAAGCATCTTGGAAGTGATGGAAAATCAACCATTGATAAATCCACCTGCCACTTGAGTATGCCCGTTGTAATACTGAGCATTCTCATCTTGAACATAAAAGGATCGTAGTCCATGTTGGTTGCATTTGTTGTGCCGTAATGGTTGTCGAGGCATCATCACTGATGTTTGCGTACTCATCACCAAATGCTGCAAAGAAGGACAATGCTGATGTATCATTGGAAGGAAATGCGAATCATGGCATGAATATAGCGTGAGTGATTGCAATGATGGATAATGTTGTAACAATGAACACGCATGTTGGTGGTTGAATGGATGACGCAACTCGCAAAGTTCAAGGGTGACAAGGGATGGCATAGGTCGCATAAAGTGTCGATAGGGATGCAATGTTGATATCAAATCAGCACTCGACACCTGGTAAGTAATCAGCTTGAAAGCGTAGGACGTCGTTCCATGATATCGCGTACATTCCACATAGTTCCTTGCGTCAACGATATCTCCACGTCATGCTAAGAAGCACCGATTTTGCTTGAACAAGCGAGGAAATTCGCTCCATTTGCTGATGCGACATCTTGTTAAACAGGAGATGAGTAAGGTATGTCGATTATATAAAGGTTGAACACTCACCTGCAATTGTCATACCCAGTAAAGCACCCATTTCTCCTACGAAACCAAAGTCCCCATGCGGATTTCAATTGCGCATGAACGCTGTCGCATAAAGAAACAGCCTGAGCTGTGGAAATGACTCGCTGTCGCCAACATCATAGCACCGTTTGCCACGTGCGAATCGCTCACACCACCTCGTCGATACTTGCACATACCCACATGGCTGGCTTAGGCTCCACCTTTCATCATCCATCAATAACGGCACAACGTTGGTCGATACAACGGTAACTTGTTGATGAAATTTTGCTGCTTCATCATTGCAATTGCGTTTGCATCCAATAAATGCTGGTAGTGTTGTTGTTCATGATCACTCATTCCCGGTGTCATACTGAGACCTTGGTCGAACCACCTCAATCGCTTTTTGTTGTCGGCCACAATACGCGTATGGCTTCCGTTTCAGCAGGTAACCAAGCATCTACTTTTGCCACCTACAAAGGAGTCTCGATTTTCCCATCAGTTTAGGCATCCTTTTAATATACAAGTGATCGTTATACCTTCCCCAAAGGGTTCATCAAAGAACACAGCGTGAAGCAATGATGTGAGCTATAAATGACAACAAAAAAGATGAATGGATCATGAGTACCCTCATTTTGGGAATCACATAAAGACCATCCTTGAGACTTACCGAAGGCCATTGATGATGATATTCAGACAAGAAGAAAGAAGGGCGTATCATAGTGTTGGTGACAACAGCCTTGTTTTATATGCGAGTGGGGCGTGGGTACTGTTGTCATTGATGGATCAAACTGATAAAGTGGTCAAGCACCTTGAAGTGCCGAGTCGAAGTCATGGAAACCAATAGCTGATAAATCCACCTGCCACTTGAAAGGTGTTTTTTGTAGGTGACATGAATGTGAACGCTAACCAAGCGCCAATGTCGGATCGAGTTTGAGAATGGCATTCGTGTCTCGTAAGGCTGTGTCAAACTGGGCGCATTTCAAGAGTGCCAATGAGCGTTGTTCAAGCAAGCTGGTCAAGTGTGTCAAGCATTGTCGAATTCGAGTAGTGGATTCTGTGACAATTGTGTCGCATGGGTAATGAGTTGTGCTGAGTGGGATCAGTTGACAGAGATTCACCCAAAAGAGGTCTTCCATAGCTGAACAAAGAAAACGATGCATGGCGACTGTGTTACCTAATTTTGCTCAAGTCATCCATCCTACGCATTGGGCCCCCTTTTTTCTTTGCCACATTAGGATGATAGTTGATACACGTGATACACAAAAGATTTGACAACCGTATAAGCAATAGCCCATCATAATAAGAAGTACGTTTAATAAAAGCCATTATGAACGCTGCTACATTGATGTAAAGAATGGTTATGTATCATAACAGGTAATCCAATGATCTGGCCGCCTTGTGTACTGCCGTTAATTTCATGGTATCAAGAGAAATTAGGCTAACTGGCGGAATAGAGGATCATAAAAAGCTATACATTGCTTCATACAAGCGTCTCTCATATCCTGAAGTCCTAGGTCGGGGCAATGCTTGTCGCATAATGCTTTAGCCTTAGTATCAAGCTTAGGTTCTTCTTTCCCTGCTTGTGGTGTAGTCGGATCGGTGGTAGCAGCATTAGGATCAGCGCCACCTTGTCCTGATGAGGTTTCTCCGACTGCCATTACACCAAGGGCAAAGGCAGCAGCAACTAGAGCGAGAGGTGACGAGAAATGCATGGTTTCGTTTGAGGGCGATACGGATTGAAAAATGGGATAGGGCATCTTTTATAGCTTTACAAAGGCAACCTCTCCTTCGTCGCCATAAGTTTATGGAGAAACACTCTGCCCCTTAAAAAGAGGCTCTTCAAATGCTACATGCCCGTAATAAAGTACCTCCCTAAAAGTTGTCACGATGATTTGGGTGATGGAGAGTACAAACATGTGCGAATTGGATATAACATTGCAAATCACAAAGCATAGAAGAAAGGAGCTGGTGTGGTACTGTACGCATGTGTGTTGTTTCTTGGTGTGTGGTTTGTGGGTGTATGAGCTTATTTCATTCGCTACAACCAATTGGCTGGGTCTGTCGTGAGATCATCTTTCTTTCTTCGGAAATCTACCGACTTTTGGATGGTTGCCACAACGACGACCATGCATGCAGGAGGCGATCTTGCTTTAGAGGGTATAAAGTCTCATACATGGGGTAACCATTACTGTCAAAACAGAAGTCGTGGTAATAGGAAATGCAATAAAAACTCCAACCTTTAATAAGCAAACATCTGACACAGATGATTTATAAGTAGCGGAATGGTACATGCGTTCGTGATGATTCAACTTACAACTGCATGCGGAATGTGTGGATTGCAGGTGCATTTGCTACTCCTAATTGCTTATTTTTTTCGGGGGTCAATCGCCCATTGTTTTAGCTTTCCCCCCCCCTGCATAAAGGTACGCGCACCAGAAATCCGTAATCAGAAGAAGGCGATTATGTACGGCCCACCTCCTATACCACCTTGCATGTATTTTAGGAGCGTGGTGGCTGGTTCCTTGAAGTGGTTATCATTACCATTTCTTCAGCCGAACTATTTGTGGATGTAATGACCTGTATATGATGAATTAGCTGTGCGTTACGTCGAGGATCACAACAGCTGCGGAAAGGAACCATTGCCATTTTACGTAACCATAGAAACGGAGTGATTTTAATCATAAGCGAAGAAAAACGAAAAGCAAAAGGACTACGTTATGCATCACACAATACGCCGCCACCAAAACCTTCCATGTAATCCGAAAGAATGTTCCCATTAATCTAATTTTCCAGATACATCGCTTGGAGGTGTAGCTACGTCAAAAGGAATATGAGCAAGTGGTTCATCCGTCGCGATACCTAGGCTTTACCTTTATGAAAGAGCCAAATACCATCATGATAGCGACGACAACAAGCTAGGATAATGATGAAAAAAGCTCTAAAGATCAACACAAGCATTACTACAAGGATCGAGAACAAAGGGGGATATCCATCATGGTACTCACAGCAACATGAGCTTGAAGCTAACAGGAATGAAAAGATGATGTAATGGAAGAAAGTGATATGGCGACAGCATCCTTGTTTTCACCATCATCGCTCCATGATATCTCGTATATCCAACATGGTTCTTTCTGCCAACGATGTCTCCAACGCATACGGCGATGCACCGAATTTGCATAAACAAGAAAGGCCATTGGCTGATAAAACGCTCTTCTTTAAAAGAGGAGATGAGTAAAGTGTACGGGGGATAAAGCAGGTCACTCACCTCCAATCCTCATACATCAGCTCCTCCTCGATCATACGACCAGCGGACTGTAATTGGAGGTCTCCATACAAAGATAAAGAAACAACCAGAGCTGGATACGGCTTGCTGTTGTCAACATCATCATAGCACAGCACGTCACGTGCAAATCACTCACGCCTACTCTTGGATCCTTGTAGATACGGGGATGGTTTTCTTCGGTTCCACTTTTCATCATCCATCCACAAAGGTATAATGCTTGTGGCTACAACATCCAATGGTAGCTTGCTGACGAAATCCAAGAATCCCGATGATATATCCTACATAGGTCACACACAAACGTAGGACATGTACATCCCTAATCGTCATGGGGAACTATCCATAGATATCAGATACCATAATCTTCTTCTCATGAAAGGATCTTACCGAGCCTCACTTGAGATATCATCTCGACATCCTCCTTTGCATCCACTAGCTGCCGGTAGTGTTGTTGTTGTTCTCCATCATCCATTTCACGTGCAATACTGGGACTTTGGTCAAACATGGCAACTGCTTTTTGTTGGTATCCACGATACGCGTATAGCTTCCCTTACAGCAGGTAACCAAGCATGTACTTTTGCCACCTACAAAGGGGTCTCCATTTCCTGTCAGTCTAGGCATCCTTTTAACATACAAGTGATCGTTATACCTTCCCCAAAGGATTTATCAAAGAACACACAGCGTGAAGCAATGATGTGAGCTATAAATGACATAAAAAAAGTTGAATGGATCATGAGTACCCTCATTTTTGGGATCACATAAAGACCATCCTTGAGACTTACCAAAGCCCATTGATGATGACATTCAGACAAGTAGAAAGAAAGGGCATATGATAGTGTTGGTGCAAAGAGCCTTGTTTATATGTGAGTGGGGCGTGGGTATTGTTGTCATGATGGATCAAACTGATAAAGTGGCCAAGCATCTTGAAGTGCCGAGTCGAAGTCATGGAAGATCAACAGCTGATAAATCCACCTGCCACTTGAAAGGTATGTCAGCCATAATACGCGTACAGCTTCCCTTTTATCAGGTAACCAAGGGCTAATGTCGGATCGACTTTGAGAATGGCATTCGTGTCGCGTAAGGCTGTGTCAAACTGAGCGCATTTCAAGAGTGCCAATGAGCATTCTTCAACCAAGCCGGTCAAGCGAGTCAAGCATTGTCGAATTCGAGTCGTGGATTCTGTGACAATTGGGACGCATTCGTGGAGTTGTGCTGAGTGGAGTCGGTTGCGAGAGGTTAACTCAAAAGAGGTTTGCATAGCTGGTCAAAAAGTGAACCGATTGCCGCCCTGAGATCAAATTACCACGCCCCTTTTTCTCTTTGCCACTGTAGAATGCACGTGATAGGATAAATGTTTCACAATACATATGCAATGATCCATCATGTAGTGTGTATTGAATAATAATGACAAGCTTTAACTACGTTAACATTGATTGACGCAAAAGGATGTGTTCATGTGTGATAAAATCAGACGTGTGTCACCAACAAGGATGCAAGACCTTATTATCTATCATTCAAAACGGGGGTGGGTCTACACCTATGTTACGCGCCTCAGTTGATATGCACATCAAGTAACAATGATCATAGCCTTCGGTCTCTTGTTCGCATTGTGAATAACATGTCTTCCTGATTTTGTTGGCGTTATCATCACCGATCATATTGAAATAGTCCTCGATTCGAGACTGGATGTGTGGGTCAGAGTGAAAACCACCGTCGCGTGGGGTTAGTGGTTTTCTGTCAGCCATCACGCCAAATAGAAACGCAGCACCGAGTACAATGAGGGATGACGAGAAATGCATGGGATCAAAAGTAGTACAGAGAAAATGATAGCTTGATAATGGGGAACATCAATAGGGCATCTTTTATAGTTTTACAAAGGAAAGAACCCCCTGGTTCTATAAGCTTGTAGAGAGAAAACTCCATCCTCCTTAAAATACGCTTGGTAATATAAAGTTCATGCATGCTGCCCATCAAGATTACCACATCGTAACATTATCAAATACGCATCAAAGCTTATTTGGACCATCATCATGATACGTGTGTGTACGTAAAGCCCGCATCTATTACCTATAGCAACAAGCGTTTAAACAAGAAATGATGGTTGCAAGATGATGGTTTGCGGGATTTGTGCTATTTTCGACATCTCATCTTTTTGGTGGATCGTCCACTTGGGATATGCCACAAGCAAAGGAGTTCTTCGTACTTTTAGGGAGACCGCGGGTATCATCATGGATATGGTTGCCAGGCAACGCGCGACATCGGGATGCAGCTCTTTTGACAAGAGATTCAGTTGCCAATCCATACTAGTGGTTGCAATGGATCCTTTGGCTGGTCAATCAAAGTCATTGGGGAGAGAGGTGCCATACATTCACAATCATCTAATGCTTGTGGATCGCATATACATATTGCTGCTACGGATCGGGTTGTAGCTTTGCTCCTACCCCTGCATATTCGTTTAGCAAGCAGATTTCTGATCTCAGTCTTCTACGGACATACGTTGTATATGTTAAATGCATGCAACACGTAAAGCGGAGTGCTCTAAGCACAAGATGGAAGCTACAAAGAAACGCTTCCCTAATACCGCCCATGTCGATAGGATCATTTTGAATTTTTATCAGCTAATCAATCACACATGCCATAGTAATACTAAAATGCTTCCTGGATACGCACACATGATTACCATACATACATAACAAAAGATCTCCCATGACGTCAGAAAACGTATATCGATGATGATGGGATGTGAAGGAGCGAATAGGTTGTATTATCTCTCGTTTACTTGGAAATACATACAGCACCATCTTCCATTTTACCATAATCCTTCAACCCAATCTTATCAAAAAGAAAAAGACGGTATTGTCTCACGTTGCGCTAAGGATGAGATTAGTAGTACAATGTAGCTACACAATAAAGCGGATGATGATGCACATGAACATCTCTAACTGCATTTGCATGATTCTCTAAGACACAACATCCACGCAGCAATGAGTCGATGGTATTTGTATATATTTTCATATCAACATTAAAAAAAGGGGTATATATGTATGCAACATCATCCTATCTTTTGCTCGATGATCACGTCATGAAATCTTCCAACGCTTGCTGTAATTCCGGCTGCTCGGTGCCATAAAGGGTGAGATGCTGTAATCGAGGAAGCTTTGCCAAAGCCATAATACCACAAGCAGAAAGATCCATAGCAGGGAGTGTCGTGTCCAAGAATCCCGATGATGTATCATAGGTCACACAGACGTAGGGCATCGTGCTCGATTATATGGGAACTGCCCATAGATATTAGATACCTTGTTCTTCTTCTCATTAAAGAATCTTACCTGGTCGCAATTGCCACATCACGTTTCCATTTACTTGATAACAGCAAAATCCGACCACGACATGGAGTCCAATGCTTTCAAGCTGATCCAATGTAGATAGGACCAGTGCCCCAGTATCGAGATCTTGCACATGGGCTTGAATGTCCATTTCACATAGGTGACAGCAATGGGTAGCAAGATGAAGTATCGTATCAATAAAAGGCTTACACCTGAATGCCATCATCCCTTGTCTAAGTGACAAACGTTTGAGCAGTCTCAGTTTGCCGATCATGATGGTCATTGGCTTCATGACGATGGTCATAATCTTCATCTCGAAGTAATCCCTGACGAATGCTCCACTAGCAAGGACGAGTTGTTGAACGCATGCATGGCGTCCCATGGCTTGAATCAATTGGAAAACAGGCTCAACGTCGCCTTGATCCGGATTAAGTGCGAGGGACGTCATGGTCGATGCCATGCTGCAAAGTGCTTCGAGTAACGTGGCAGATCGCTTCAAGGAGTTGTTGTCGACATCCACACATTCCATTGATGGTGCATGATACGGTATCCACCATCCGCATAATTGGGTGCTCGCAACGGACAATGTAGATGTCGTCATTGTGGAAATTGGATTGCTGCTGGTGGATCTGGATCCTCATGCAAAGTACCGACCACAATTGCTGCTGATTCAAGGGTCATCATGAATGGTCGGATATCTTCGATCTTGTAATAGCATGAACGTTTGTCACCAACAAAGGAGTTCCAAATGCCATAGCTCTGGAGGGGTTGCCCTTTGCCTACAAATGTACAAAACACCCTTTTAATGATATACAAACGAAGATGATGGTCATACTTACCACAAAGAAGGATTCGTCAAGGAACAAAGCCAAATGACATTAGGAGCAATGAGCACAGCAAGCGGTAAGGCAATGAAGTGAGCTATAGATGACAACAAAAAAAAAGATGAATGCATCATGAGCACCATCATTTACGGAATCGCATAGAGACCATCCTTGAGACTTACCAAAGACCATTGATGATGGTATGCATACAAGTAGAAAGAAGGGCGTATGATAGTGTTGGTGACAACAGTCTTGTTCATATGTGAGTGGTCGTGGGAATTGTTGTCATGATGGATCGAGCTGATAAACTGGTCAACCATCTTGGATGTGATGGGAAATCAATCATTGGTGAATCCACCTGCTGCTTGAAAGATGATCTCTTGTAGGTGATATAAGGATGGCCGTTGTAATACTGAGAATTCTCATCTTGGATAGTACATGTGGGTCGTTTTTGTGTTGTAGTGGTAGTGGAGGAGTGATGATTGTCGTTTGCGTGCTGATGGCGAAGAACGACATGCTGTTGTATCATTGGAAGGAAATTGGAACCATGGCATGAATATAGCGTGAGTGATTGCAATGATGGTTAATGTTGTAGCAATGAACGCGCCTGTCCGTGGAGCCTTGAAAGCTTAGGCATCGTTCCATGATATGGCATACATTCAGTATCGTCCCTGGTAACAACGACATCCACGTCATGCAACGATTGACGGATTCTGCTTAAAGAAGCAAGGAAATGGGATTGATTCGATGGCGAAATGCCTTTTAAAAGAGGGGATGAGTAAAGTGTGTTGATTATATACAGGTAGATCACTCACCTCCAATCCTCATTCGCCGTAAAGCCCTCAGCTGTCACAACATAGGAAATCTTCATGTGGATTGTTATTGCTGATCTCCATAGAATGAATGTTGTCGCTAGAAGAAACAACCGGAGTTGGATACGGTTCGCTGTCATCGATCACATAGCACAGCTTGTCATGTCCAAATCGTTCACGCCAACTCTTCGAAAACTCTTTGAAACTTGTGGATACGGACATGATCTTCTTAGGTTGCACCGTTCATCATCCATCAATAACGGTACAATGCTGGTGGATACTACGGGGAACGGTAAATCGACATCTTTTTGTTGTATCATCGCTGCATCCAACAAATACTGATAGTGTTGTCGTTCATCATCATCCATTCCCGATTCGATATTGAGATCTTGTTCAAACACCTCAATCACTTTTTGTTGTCGGCCACAGTAAGCTTATAGCTTCCCTTTCAGCATGCAACCAAGCATGTGCTTTTGTCACCTACAAAGGAGTCTCAACTTTCCCATCAGTCTAGGCATCCTTTTAATATACAAGTGATAGTTAACCCTACCCCAAAGGGTTCACCAAGGAACACAGCGTAAAGTAATGATGTGAGCTATATAGATGAATGGCATGAGTACTCTCATTTTGGGATTCACATAAAGGCAATCCTTGAGACTTACCAGACGCCATTGATGATCAATACAAGTAGAAGAAAGAAGGGCGTGTGATAGTGTTGGTGACAACAGCCGTGTTTATATCGGATTGGGCGTGAGACTTGTTGTCATTGATGGATAAAACTGATAAAGTGGTCAAGCATCTTGGAGTGCCGAGTCGAAGTCATGGAAATCAATAGCTGTTTATCCACTTGCCACTTGAAAGGTGTCTTTGCAGGTGACATAAGTATGACCGGTAATCAAGGGCTAATGTCGGGTCAAGTGTCAGAATGGCATTCGTGTCGCGTAAAGCCATGTCAAACTGAGCCCATTTCAAGAGTGCTAATGAGCGTTCTTCAAGCAAGCAAGCTGGTCAAGTGTGTCAAGCATTGTCGAATTCGAGTAGTGGATTCTGTGACAATGGAGTCGCATTCGTGGTGAGTTGCGCTGAGTGGGATCGGTTGACAGAGATTCACCCAAAAGAGGTCTTCCATAGCTGAACAAAGAAAACGACTCATGGTGATTGTACTACCTAATTTTTCTCTATCCATTGGCCCCTTTTTTCCTTTGCCACATTAGGAAGATAGTTGATCCACGTGATACATTAAAGGCTTCACAACCGTGTTTGCAATGACCCATCATAAGACAAATGCGTTTAATAAAGACGACATGATTCAATGCTACACGACATGCATTCATGCAAGTGGTGATCCTATCTATAGGCGAAGGGTATGTCATCAGCATAAGATACAAGTCATTGGTAAATCGATACCTCCGAATGGGTACAAAATGACCAAGGTTTTAATAAGCAACGTACGGGTCATATCATTGAGTGGCATCAAAGGTTGGCTTATTCATGCCTCAAATGCATGCAAGATGTAATGAATGCAGATACATTTCTCACATCTCAATGCATGTTTTCAGGGGCCAATCACTTGTTTATTTAGCTTTTTGCACCTGCATGTCTATGCCATCTTGGAATTGGTTATGGAAATAAAGGGGATGTTATGGGACCAAGGATACTATATCAGATCGTGGTGCATTCAGTGTATCGCATTGGCAAATTCCATCCTATTTTGCGTTCATCATCCACGCATGGGTGGCCTGTGTAACACAGCTGCATGCATCTGGCTTTCTTTGTCCAGCACTTTTGTTTTACTTCCTCTCCACGCTTGATCAGCTTTTATTCATACAATAACGACTCACTCTGAACAACCCACCATTATTAAGGCGCTTTCCTTCGACTTGCTTTGTAAGACCTTTTCACTGTTGGCACGCAATGACATTCTCGAATGCATGCTTGTTTCTCGACATTGGCGACAATCGGTTCCCCATTATGCAAGCGCATGCTTTGCTCACCTTGTATTGAAAAACGACCACGACCATTTGCTATACAGCAGCCTATTGGAACACGTGGGCATCTTTGCAAAAAGTTGTTGCATTGGAGCATTACTCTGATTTTTACAAGAGCCGTTGGATGATGACCGAGCTTATACCACGCTACTTTGTCAATGTTTCAACATTACGTAAGTGGACCCATGAATAGATAGATAGTAGGTGTGGTATTGATGATAGGGTATAGATATTGAACATGGTTGTATCGATCAAGAGCTGGGTATCTTTTTGTCACGGTTGCCGAACCTTTCTCAATTGAAGATCCTTCATCCTTCCATGATTTCATTGTCATCAGCATTCATCCGAAGCATTATCTATCACTGCCCAAAAATGGTGTCCATGACGATCGCTCGTGTTTCGCCATCTGCCAACATAGCATCCGACTGTCCTTTCCCAGATATTCCACCATCCATCACCACCTCTTTACAGTACTTGGATCTGGGCGATTGTCACGACATGAGCATTGTCAACCTCTACAACGTGTTGAAGGATTCTCCGAATTCGAAGCTTTTGGCGGTGGTCAAGGAAGGGGATATGGATGGAAACAAGGCAATTTTGGCATCATGTTGCCAGGATTACGACACTTGTACTATCAACAGCAATATACGCCAGGACCCATTCAACCCATCACAGGATATGATGAAGATCAGGGTGATCACAAGGAGGAGGAGGAGGAGTCGCGATCCAACAATGGTGTTTCTTTACGAGGGCTCTCGATTCATGCTTCGGATGCAGAAAGTTTTATGTATCAAAGAGGAATCAAGTACTTGCGACTGGTACATGCGCATCTTTCACACCCTATGAAGTCCACCTTTTTCCCAAGTCGACTCATCCATCAGAATTGCAATACACTGGAAGCTTTGGATTTATCACCAACATCGCTAAAATGGCCGGAGGTGCTGATCCCATCATTCGCATCCTTGATCAACTTGAAACGTATACGGATTTGGTTTCGGTATATGGATACTCTCTGTGACCAAGCGGTTGGTGTATTTTAACAACTTGCTGATATCGCCTCACAACATACAACACTTCGGTTCATCTCCCTGCAAATGACACCCATCATGAGCCAATACGATGTCAGCATCAACAAAGGTTCGGTGTTGTTTTCGGCCATAGCCAACATCCCATACCTTAGATAAATCACGTTTTTATGTACATACATCGATTCGGACGCCTTGGAAGGCTTAACTGAAGGAGCCACCCATTTGGAGAGGATCACCTTAAAAACACAATCGGGTTTGAATTTGACAACGGCTTTATTTACTGCATTGGCGAGACTACGATTGCATACACTTGAATTCACATCATATGGATTGGAGAGGGGTACACTGTATGAAGCAGGTTTACGTTACATTGTCTACCACCATGCTGGATCCTTGAATACAATGGTCATCGCTGGGAACATTTGCTTTGACGGACGTGGCTGTGATGTGGTATATGCTGAGCAAATATTGGGAAAGCGCTTCAAGTATGAATATAGCTATCGAGACTCTTTGGTCGTCATCCCTCTAGCTAGCTAGGATTCACAACATAAGTAAATCGATCGAAGCCTTCAATTGAAATAATGCCCCATAATTATGGTACACTGTATGAAGCAGGTTTACGTTACATTGTCTACCACCATGCTGGATCCTTGAATACAATGGTCATCGCTGGGAACATTTGCTTTGACGGACGTGGCTGTGATGTGGTATATGCTGAGCAAATATTGGGAAAGCGCTTCAAGTATGAATATAGCTATCGAGACTCTTTGGTCGTCATCCCTCTAGCTAGCTAGGATTCACAACATAAGTAAATCGATCGAAGCCTTCAATTGAAATAATGCCCCATAATTATAATAGCTATGCGTATTGTACATGTAATAGGAGAGGCTAGTATTCAATGTATGTGGCGCGATGTATTTGATAGATTACAAAGATGACAATTGACCAATGACTTTGAGCATTTATTCACGTAACGGGATATATAAAGGGTTATGTATCATCCTACTGAATCTTGTACGTGTATACACGCACTCCCGGAATGTGTTGTTCCAATATCTGAAAGTCACTTGTGAATTTCGTTTGCATGGTATTGTAGAGAGTGAGATTTAGTAACCTTGAGTATTTTGTGAAATGCATGAGGCCAGTATTCGAAAGCTGGTCACCACGTAAGGTCACGGTGTGAAGATTACCAAGCGTTGATAGTATCAAGACACCATCATCCAAGCCATCCGTCTTCATCTTGATATCCAGAACACGCAATGCATCCAAATGTCTAGCAAGCCGCATGAACAATTCCATTGAATTCGTAGCGTTCATTGTGTCTTTGAATCTTCCAAGCGATAATCCAGTGAGATTTTTCAATGCACAGATGGCATCTTGCAGGCCTTTGTTCATGATCAGGCTTGCCGGCATAGCAAGTGTCAGGTCGATCAGGCTAGATTGGCCATTTTCCATGTTGCCGTGTGCTTTGAGAACCTTGGTAATATGCGAAGTGGTACACCCACTATTTGAACGATATGCGAGTGACCGAAGATGTCGTAAATTGCAGAGGATGTTTATCAGCGTTTGCGATCCTGCAAGTGCACCATGATTCAAATCGACACCATCAAGAACAGGTGCATGAGAGGGTATCCATGATCCATGACAGGGTAAGAGAGGTGATGTCCTTGACCAATAATACATGCGTTGCAATCGTGTAAATTGTACTGTTGACGGCGGCGGTGCAGGGAACTCTTGTTGCGTGCTTCCTGTAAGGAACATTGTCTCGAGCGTCTCGCAATTGTTCACCACGATGTTGTGGATGTCGTGGGGATTGTAATGTTGTACATCCAAGTCGTCTATGTACAATTTCCATAATCCTGGTGGTGTATTTGGTTTCCCCTTCCAATTGATATTCCAGGTGATCCTCCTTTGAGTGCTGATAAGTAGTTGTTTCATCCCAGGCCAACGTTGGTGTAAATTTGAAAAGAACGTGGAATCATGACATGGATGAAGCGCAAGTGACTCGAGCGATGGACAATGCGCTTGTAATGCAAGCACATGTTCATGAAGGATTGGTCTCCGCAAATGAGTAAGTTCCAGGTGCACAAGGGCTGGTGATAGTTGCCATGGCTGTGATAAAAGATCGATCCCCACATTGCAGCTTAACTTCAAGGATTCAAGTTTTGGACATGACTCAAGAACATCCACCATGCTCACTGTTGCTTGTGATGTGATCCTCAAGTCAACCAAATGGCTTCCCGTTTGGCGTGGGCATACAAAGGTATAAATTCCATTTGAGGCCTCTGTGTCTTTTTAAAAAACGAAAGAGTATGAGTGACATGTTGCCATGACAACGATCATGCATTGACTACTCACCAGTCATTTCCATCGAACGTAACGAGACAAAATGGCCACGATGTAATAACCTTGCTAAATCCGACCCTGGTTTATAATTGAAGACCCTCAATGACTTAATACGATGCAATAACGAAAGAGCCTGTGCAGGATAACCATTGTTGCCATGATCATTGAAAAGATAACGCAAGCTTGCACGAGAGAATCGATCGCGCCACGTGTTGGATACATCAAGATAAGGACATGGATATTGGCTGTTCCATTCATAGCCATTCACCACCAAAGGGACAATGTAACTTGATACAAGCTCGAGAGGTAGCTTGGAAATGAAATCAACGCGCTTCTCTTTCATGGTCGCTGCCTCGGCTTTGGCTTTTAGGAGTTGCTGATCATCCTTGTTCATATAGAGCCCTTCCTCATACTCGCTCAAAGCCATATCATGACATCCTTGATATGCATAGATATTTCCTTTCACAAGGTAACCAAGCGTCGATCTCGGGTCAAGTTCTTGAATGGCGTCTGCATCGCGTATGGCCGTGTCAAACTGCGCACATTTCAAGAGTGCCAATGAGCGTTCGTGAAGTAGGCTGGTCAATCGTGTCAAGCACTCTTGAATCTGGATAGACGAATCCTCTACCACCTTGCTGCATTCACCGTGCCTTGCGCTGAGTGCGATCGGTTGACGTACGTCGGGCCAAAAATACTCGTCAGACATAGAAAAGAACAGGTACAAGGAGTTGCTTGCATTCAAGGGAAGTGTGTAATTTATTTACCAGTCACTATACTTGCTATCCATAGATGTTCACTTCCCCTTTTCAAGCCAATGTAGTAATAAAAAAAAGGTTATTATATAAGCATGATAAAAAGGACCCTTTCGTGGTTGGTGCATGTATCGTCTTGAAGGGGGTCATGGTGACACAAAGCCGTGTTCTTAGTTTGACATTGTTGACCCCATTCTAATCAACTAAACCCAGCTATCTTTTTCTCTGCCAAATCCAAGGAACGACTTCAGCAACATACCCTGCTTACTATTACAAGTATCAACAACACAATGTACTTACATTGACAAGGGCCCATTCAAGAAGTGTGCGAATTCCGTCAGCGATTGGCAATGGAGATGGTAAAGTGAGACCTGGTGCGAAGGACGTGTATCAGAATGATGAGACCTGACACCAAGTGGCTGTCGATACGAAGTTGTAGTGAAGGCAATATTGGAAGACTACTAAAATGGATGGAGCTTACGTGGTAATATTCAATGCAGTATACACATGATTGCTGGTGATCCTTCCGTTTCATGATGATGCGGGTTGCTATGGATGATGGGCTTTGACCTGTTGAAAAAGGACCAGGTTTATTACATGTAAGCACGCAAACCGATATCGTACATGTAAATGAAGACATGATAGGTATGGCAAGAGCGCTTGTTGCTAGGATACGTTGGAGCATGATGGGAATTGCTGGTTGTATTATTGTAGTTTTATGATTTATCCAATAAAGGGATCAGTCCAGAGATACAAAACATGGTCACCATATAAAGCATGCTACATCAATGGGAAAAATGGTCATCACGCGAACGAAAACATGCTCACCTCGATAAAAACATGCTCACCTCAATAAAAACAGGATCAATGATACTAGTTTGTGGTGGAACAAGATGGGTTATCCAATGGTTTCAGTAGGTCACTGAAATCATAATAGCAACCAATATGGATGCGTTGGTTCTCATGATGATACATCATGCTAGGATGATGATTCAGCCATGAGATGATGATAACACAATCCACATTGGCCACGTGCATTGTTGTATATATAAAGATCCATAAGCGAAAAAAAAGATCGACCATTGCGTCCAAAAAGGATTTGCTTTATTGATTCCATGGCAACGCGTTTCCAACGTGATAGCAATAGCATCGGAAGAGCGGACCATCCTTTCCGACAGCAACCGATGTTACACAATGATGATGATTTAAAGAAGTGTCTTTCCCTCACGAATGGAAACAATGAGGCATACACATTCACTTTTATTGATTGAAAGCCGCAAGGCGATAATAAAGGAGCCAATGGGACTATGAAAAAAGATGGAATCAGATATGCATGCCACGTTGTACAAACGTTCTGCAGCACATCACGTGCTGGATGTGCTGCTTGTTGTTTCGCGGTCTCTTTCTCTTCCTTTTTAATGCACCCATGACCCGCTCAATAGACTCTGCGATTCTTGACAACCTACGCGCTTCAGCATCTCGAGGTCAACATGCCCATGTCATTCAGGAGACCTTCGCCATTGACAACGAATTACTTGAACTTCGACTCCATCTACTCAACATGCGAGCACGATCGTACGTTGCTTGTGCCCAATTTGCCAAAGCCTTGGAGACGGCAAATACCATGCAACAGATGAATCCAGCATCAGCACTCGGTTACCTATGTCAGGGATACATTCATATGGAACAAGGACGACATGTTGCAGCAGCTCACGTGTACGACAAAGCACTCGAACATGTTGACGCAAGTGATCCATTATATGGCACCATCACGACATCCAAAGATAACGCCATCCAACAAGGTCAAAAGCGTAGAGATTTCATATGCGACTTGCCAATGGACATCAGTGCTCGTATCATCCAAGAGCTACTCATTGTTGAGCGAAACGATGAGCAATTCGATAAGCAACGTGAGTATGTCACAGTGTCAAGGGCTTGGTGGCATCGTTTCATGGCATCCGATCATCTAAGACTTGTTGTGAAGGATACGCAGCCTTTGGAAGAAACCAGTTCTATCGTGATTGAGATATTCAGCCATGCACGTTCGCTTGTATTTTACGATGTCGAGGTGCCGTTCAGTCAACTTTTGGAAAAGTATCGCTTCACAAGCTTGACATCATTGACATTTAATCGTACGTTTATCATGGGCTGGTTGTCTCATTGAATGCATACACTTACCATCTACACTAGGACTTGAAGATGACAACTTTATCGAAGCATTGGATATGATCGGCACACGTTTTACGCATTTAACATATGGAAAACTCCCCATTCTCATGGAAGGCGATAAGACTCTTCGACTACAGCACATCTTGACAATGTGTCCCAATTTGGCGTATTTGAAATGCCAAGCAGCAATCGACATTTCAGGTCTCCAGGAGACGTATCCAATGCTACGAACGCTCGAGCTCCAGGAAGTGAGAGGAACGATTGGTAATCAGCATATGATCATGATGCAGCATCACCTGCCCGGTTTGAAGATATTGAATATGGCCATCGTAAACAGCTCAAGGACATTGACGGTGGATGACACATGGTTACCAGCTATTCGGCATTTGGCATATGGTGATCATCCAATTGTTTACATCCAAAGGACCAAGTATAAGCAACATGAAGAGCAAGGGTTGGTGACGTTTTCCATTGCGCCCTCGAGGCATTTATTTGCTCTTGATGATATCGCACCTCTTATTATCCATCATCATGCGACATTGCAATTACTGGAACTCAAGTGTGATTTGAACACAATGCATGCTATGAATATGGCAGACGCGATGCACAACAACCTTCAGATTGAATTTACAAGGCTGAAAAAGATAGTGGCGTTTACGATATCTCAGATCACCAACATGCAACCCTATTCGATTTTTCTCACTTGGATTGTTCAGTGTTGTATTCAGGCTATCCATCATACCCAATAAAGATCCAACAT